ACAATTGTGTGGAAGTCACTACACTTCTGGACAGACTCAATAACAGTTGTTTCTGTGAACTACTGAGTCATGTTTGTTCCCAATGCCAATGGTCCTAATATTTTGTTTTAAAGGCATGGCTGACTAGAGCAAGTATAAAGCCAAAGAAAATGTCATAGCTAACTGCATTAACAATGGTGACAGTGAGCATAAATTCCCTACATTGTCAAATAGGCCAAACTATGAAATGCAAAACATATTAATTGGTTTGGGGAAGAAGGGCTGCAATGATGGGGCTAGTGACAGGAATCACAGGAGAAAAAAGGGGAACTGAGGGATACACTGAAGGCCCTTTCCCAAACCCCTAAAAGCCCTGCCCAGATGTGGTTTCATCTTCCAAACCATGATCAAAATACAATATTTTATTTGTGCAACGTGTTTTATTGCTGAAAAAGCTCACCTTGAATCCCCCAGAACTCCGTGCAGAACCTTTCTGCAAAACAAGCAGAGCGACAATGCTCCCAGCTAGGGAGACACCCTTACCTTTGTGTCAATGCGGTAGGAGAAATCTGAGATGGGGACACCATTGGCCAGGACGAGATGAGGAGGGCTGGGGACACCGAAAGCCACCACCTCTTTCAGCAGCAGCCCATCCACCTGACTGTTGAGTCGCACGATCTCATTCACCAGCACACCCTACAGCAGGAGGAGAGGCAGATGATGAGACACAGCTGCAATGCAGGCGCTACAGCCAACACCCCAGAGGTCAGTATCTCATGGCTGGTGGCCAAGTGAGGAAGGCATAGACTCCTCTCCAGCTTTTCTCTTCCCATGTAATCTGGTAAATCAAATGAAAACCCAGCTGCCTACAGTCGGGTCAGGCTCAGGGGCTTTGCCATCAAGGAATAAAACAACAGGAAGTCTTAGTGGCAGGGCAAGGAAAGTAGCAAAATTACTAAAAGGGGAAAATGACCCAAAGAAGGGCAGGATGAAGTTTATTCATTTAGATTTCCTTCCTGTGCTATCCCAAAGGCTTAAGGTACATTACAATATACAGTTACCTCATCTTATCCTCACATAAAAAGCCCTCTGAAGGTACAAGCTGGTGACTAGGGAATGAATGGCACTTGTGAAAACATCCACAGGGCAGCATGTCTGTCAACCAGTGACAGTTCTGTCTAGACATTGCCTGGTCTTCTGCAAGAGGCATCAATGCCTGGGAAAGACCAAAAGGATAATGCACGCTCAGCCTGACTTGATTCCCTTATGCGGAAGGAGCTGTATCTGCCATATAAGGGACATGCTCTCCCCAACGAAAATGTCTGCTGCTGCTAACAAAACGCAGAATCGTCCCCTGCACCGGCAACACGCAGACCAGCCACTAAGTCGCTGCCACGGGACACGGGGAAGTCTGAATGGCTTTCAAAAGGGATTGGATAGATTCATGAGGGAGGAGGCTCTCCATGGATACCAGAGAGCAGGAGGTTTTGCACCCATCCTGCTTGAGGGAACCTGTAGGCAGCTGGTTTGCCGCTGTGTGTACCACCTGCTGGACCAGATGGACCTTTGCTCTGATCCAGCATGGCTGTTCTTATGTTCTTATTCAGTTCTGCTGTCCCACTTTGTACTCAGCCATTATACTCATCAAGCACTGGTGGTGCCAACCAGCGCTCATGCTGCTCCTTCAATTCTGCTTGTTTCCTCACAACCGAGCAGCAGGAGGGAGCCTGTCAGGGGGAGGGAGAGGGTGGCAGGCCTGGCAAGCGACCAGTCACTGGCTCTCATTCCAGGGAGTGGCAGCCTGTCCGTTCAGGAAGACCTGGGATGCCCCCAGGCACTTTTAGTAAGTTGTCCTTCAGTTCCTCCCTCCTTCTACTTCGTGGCATCCCTGCTATTTAGATGCCTGATATTGGGGCAGGACGTTGCCTCGGGGTGAGGCAGAGAGCAAAGGTGTACACCTTTCCTGCATCTACAGCTTTCTAGTGCTGGAGAGTCTTGACAATACCTTGCAAGGACAGCACTACCTGCCATTGGCCGACCTTGTGTGATGTCAGACCAGGCATGAAGAACCTCGTTCAGCCCCAGGGCCATATTTCATTTCAGGGCTACAGTCTGATGGTGGGAGGAGCCAAAACTGTAAACAATACTGGCACTTTCAAGCTCTTGGGGCCAGTGAATAAGCCTTAGGAGAGGCATTTCAACTTCTTATTTTTTGAGAAGGGGAGAAAAGCCGCACAAATGCCAGGAAAGCACCAAATGATCGGTGGCTTGGGGCAAGGGGACGGGGTCATCTCAGCAGGGGTGGTGCTAGGTACAGAAAAGATATGGGGCTCAGGCTTACATGGAAAAAAGGACAAACTGGCACATGTGAATTTACATATGCTGTAAAGTCTGTCTGTGTGTGTAGGTGTGTTTGTGTGTGTGTGTTTAAAGGACCCTGCTTCCTAAGGACACTTCCTTTCGTAGAAAAGGATTCATGGACAGGATTTAGCTTCAGCTTGTCAATCAGAATGGAAGGGGTTTATTTTCAAGAAAAAACAGGCAGAAAGTTTCAAGCATGGGGAGAACACAGCATTTCAGCAAGTGCCACAGACAGTAGAATGGTAAGGCAGAAAGTTTCCCAGAGATTCGGAGTTCCAACCCTAGCAGGCTGCCTCCCAGCATGTCATGGAGGCCTGAATTCTGCACTCTGCTGTCAGATCCTGCCTTGTCTCAAAGGCTAAAGACAGGTAATAACAGGTTTTTAAAATGTGTTTTAACCTGTGCTGTTCCGCTTTTGGAATCCAATCCGTTTCTCCCTGAAACTCACGTTCGTTGCCAGAAAGAAGATCTGTGTGTAATCGCCCTTCTCGAAAGTCAGCAGACTGTCACCGTCATCCCAGAACAGGTCGCCTCTGGCCACCCCATCCAATGTCAGAGCTACCACAAGGGTCATGCCATTTTTGCGGGATGCTGTGGTTGTGAAGGCAGGTTCCTGCACAGAGGCAGTGGAGGAGGAATAGACATCATGGCATCAAGCCCGCCCCAGCACCCCGCTCCCCACAGCACCCTGAACCAGCACTTACTGGAGCTTCCCTCAGCAAGGGTGCCTTGCTGTACTACTCCCTGGCAAGACAGGGCTGGGGGAAATGGGTGACTCGACTCACCTGTAGGGGGAGGATGTGACCTGCGCGAACGTGGACATTGATGGTGTCAAGGGGAGCCGAGAGGCGAGTCCACTGTCCCTTACTGTGTATGCTGGAGCCCTGAAGAGCCAGAGATAAAGGCATCATAAATGAAGTGGAGCTCAGACTCTGGGAACGATGTGTAAGCGGCTGGGGGTGCAGGTGGCCATGGCTGCCTTGCATCGGTCCTTAGGTGCCACCCTGTCCTTTGAAGGCTGCTTCTGTTTGCTGTGGTGCAGAAAGGGGCACACACTTGGCCCACTGACTTCTCAGGTGACCAGGCTCTTCTTTGCAAGAGCTCAGCCAGTGCTTTGCATTCACAATACATGCGACAGCCCATTTCTGCACCATTCTGAACAGTCTGCTCACTCATCAAATCAGGCCCATCTCTAGACTCCTCAAGAACTTCCTTTTCATCTGCACAGGATGGTTTGGGTCGTTATCACTTTAAAATGAACTACTTGACAGTTTCATGCCATATTCTTATTGGCTCTCACCAGATTTTGAGTGCCTGACCATCCTCCGTCCCTGTGACCACGAGGATTCCCAGAACACAGGAAAGAGGCCAAGCTCCAGGGATAAGTGAACCAGTGGACACCTCGCCAAGAGAGAGTGAGCGCAAGAAAATGGCAAAGAGGTCACTAGGTCACTACTAGCCACTCACGGAAACTCAGCAACGTGATCATCCAATGGAAAGATGTGTTTAAGACACCTTGGGAAAGACTACCTGCTGAACTCAGGGCTCAGACAGGGAGCCAGCAACAATCTCTTCACTTCTAGGAGACGATCGCAGACGCTCAGTCTGCCAGGGCAGGCGGCAACACTCACGGATATCAGGCTGTACCACGTGCCAGGAGGGAAGTAGCCACTGACATGGGCCTTCCCTGCCTCTAACACAGGGGTGATGAGAAGCCCGGATCCCCACATGAGCTGCCGGTCAATGTCCCATGTATTGGGGTCATCTGGGAACCTGCAAAGAGAACACAGTCCATGAAACACAGTCCACCATATGTGCTTCTTGAGCACCAGGAAGTGATGGCACTCAAACACATTTCCTTGCCTCTTCAACCTTTCTCTCTTCCATGGGCATGCATGCCTGTGTGTACATGCATGGGCACAGGGATACCCTCATACACACAGAGCATCCTTCGACAACTGGGAAGGATTTTACTTCTTGCCTAATCTTCAGAGTTCCAGAACAAAGGATGTGCCAGCGCCTTTTAGGGACAATCATCAACGGCCCAACACTGGTTATTCCATCATTCCCCCTTGTATCTCATTTTTCCTTCAAGGACTTCAAAGCAGTGAAACTACTTTCCTCCCCAATTCATGCTCAGGACAATGAACATGTGAAGTAAGCTGGGTAGCCAGACAGTAATTGCCCTGAGGATCAGTCAGGAAGCTTTGTTCCAGGAGAGGGGTTTGGCTGCAGGTCCCCACCGTCAGGGGCAGTGCTCTGCCTATCACTGCCTCTCATGGTCTCTCCATCCAGACCTGTCAGCACGGGCCATTTTTCATGACCTGAATGCACATTCAGTGCACTGGCTCCTCCTGCTGCTCCTAAAGCACCAGCCTGAGGGACAAGAAGTTGCCATGCGCGGGTGACCCACCTGCCCTGCTCTCCCCATCACCTCCCTTTAGTGCAGAGGTGAACCGAGAGAGTGTTGCAGCAGCTATTTACTGTCCCACTGAAAGGCTGGGCTTACCCCCAGTGGTTTCCAGCTCAGACTGGGGAATGGGACTAACACTGCCTCGATCATTCTAGTAAACGACCTATGCAGGGAGAGGGGCAGGGAAGTGTGCCCTTTGGATTTTTCTGTACCCCTCAGGTGCAATCCGTCCATCAAGGATGTGCTGGCAGGTTCTGTCTTGTCTCCCATGCTGTCTAGGGCCTTGATGCAGCCAAGGAGTACAGCGATCCAGAGATTTGGTATATAGTGTCACCAGGGTGCTGGTGGCAGCCAGTTCGAGTTGTCCTTTCCATTTAAGCCCTGCTGTGGCGACTTAGACCCTGAAGAGATGGCCAGAAACTCTGACAGAGTCTATGAGATTAAGCTGAAAAAGATCAGCCAAAGAAGCTGTAGGTGTGGATGTGGGGAGGAGTTCAATCAAGTTGATTATCTGAGACTAGGCATACAACCTATTCTGAATAAGTCTCACACTCTCCATTAAGGCTTGGTTTGTACTTTGGTGGTACTTCTGGTTCTAGGGATGCTGCTGGATGCCCAGGTGGTAGTTCAGTCCAGCGTGCAATCCTGTACTTATCTACCCAGAAGCACGTTCCACTCAATTCACTGAGAGTACTCCTAGGTAAGTGTGTCTAGAAGTGCAGCCTGAGACTTGTACGCCAGCTGTGATCTCTCCTTGTTTGCTACAGAATTCTGTGCTGGACTTTTGCGTGTTTTAAAGGTAGCTGTGTTCTTACTTTGCTACAGGCTGACATGTAGCTCATCTGGTGGGAAAATGAGGTATACAGTGATTTAACTGAATGAGTAAATGAAATACGCCTTCATGTGTTCCTTTGCCTTTGGTTCCACCAGCACTGGAGTGTGGACCCAGAGAACTCCTCTGGAATGGAACTGGGAGCCCAGCATCAAGTTGATCTGCTTGACCTCGATGGACCACCAGGCCACACGGAGAGTGCGAGGCTCTGTCCCATCTAGTGGTAGATCCTTGGAGTCTGGGATTCTATAGCAATTCAGGACCCCGAGAAACTACTGCAGCAGCCCCTCCATGGTGGCCATTGTGCTCCACTGACTTACTCCAGATACAGGGGCCGGGCAACAGTCTCTCCTGCAGAGTGGGCCTTGTGGAAGAGGGTGTAGAGGTAGGGCAGCAGCAAATAGCGCAGGAGCAGAGCTTTTCTCATGGCCTGCTGGGCCTCTTGGCTGAAGGTGTATGGCTCCTGGGGCTGCAAGGCAGAAAGGAACCTGAGAAGACACATCATGTCCTGGGGCCCTTGCAGGAAAGCTGCCAAGGTCAGCTTTAGAAATGCTTCTCTGCCTGGCTCACCCCTATGCACCCCGTCGGCAATCCTCCTTTCAGCAAGATGCTCCCTCCTTCTGTGGGACTCGTTCACACTCAACCAGGGATGAAAGTAAGTGTGGCTGGGGTGAACAGAATGCCTTCTAGAAACAGATCTATGGCCCACGGTGTCAGAAGCCAGGCCTGTGCAGCTTATGAACCAAGCCAGCCATAGCAGTGTCAGCTCTGACCCTTTCGCTCAGTCAGGAGTGGCCAGCTGCACTACTGCAAGGATTTCATTGCCACGTCTGAGCCCAGAAGGGCTCACAGTGCCAAAATGGTGCAACCAAGAGTGAGGGGGAAACACACAGGAACGGCTTACTCTTGGCCCAGCTGTGCAGTACTGTGAAAGGCTATTGGGACACTGGCCCTTAACCAAATCCAGAAAGGGAAAATAATTGGGGATCACCCAAGAAATGGAAGTAAATTCATGCAGTTGCTTTTTGGGCTGGAGGTAACTGAAAAAATGCCATATAGTATTAAGCAACGATTAAGGCTGCCAAAGTGCATTCCGAGACTCAGCTTCAAAGCCTGGAAGTGGGGATGGAGGGTCTTTGAAAACCTGTCTTTGCATCTGATGCCGGCTACTGTAGAGACCAACAAAATCCAGGTCCATGGTCCACTAGTCCCTTAGCCTTGGAGACTCACCTATGTGCCTGCCGCCCAGACTCATGGGACTCTTACTGGAGCTCCCTGGGCCATTTTGTCACTGCCCTCCTCCCTGCCCCATTCCCAAATCATCTCTTAAAAGAATGGGGAGGCTGATCTACTGCCATAGACTTACCTTATTCCCACGGTCATTATGGTTTCGCATGAAGGGATAGAAGGCGCCCAGTTGGGTCCAGCGTATGCACAGTTCCTCCGATGTGCTGCCCCCAAAGCCGCAGACGTCAGCACCAACCAGCGGCACGCCATACAGGTTAAACAGCAGCACCGCTGGGGGCAGGGACAGTGAGATACATGGAGCGGGCTAGGAAAGGCACTCAGTGGCTAGCCATTTTGTGAGGGAGAGTTCTGGTGGTTACAGGGAGAATTCCCACTGAGGCAGGGCTTTTCCTCTCGCTGAGCTACAAGAGAGTCCCAAGACAGCAGAAGGAAAAGGGGAATTTAGGGAAGTGTGTGGGAGGGGTTGCCAGACATTCGTACCTGGTATAGTGTAGTATAAATGCTCCCAGGTGCTCTGGACATCCCCAGTCCAGTGACCAGCATAGTGCCCGTGGCTGGCGAAGCTGGAACGCGAGATCACAAATGGGCGCTTCCCTCGTACTTTCACCAAAGCACTGAAAACAGTGGGGAGGGGATGTCAGTGGAGCGCAAGGGGCAGGAAGAGATGTCTGCAGATCTGGAAACTGGGATTTCCAAGCTTCTGAGTGCATGTTATTCCGAGAGCTCTGATCGGCCAGAATCCAGGAAATAGTACTTGATAAGCCTCCTGATGTCTCAGTCAGAAAAGGACTTGATGCATTTAGCTTCAGCTTGTCAATCAGAACAGCACCCCCTCCCTCCAAAAAAGCCAAACCTCCTGAGCTGGGGCTGGTGCCAAAAGTCTGCAAAGGCACCTTCCAGTATCTGCTCCACTCAGTATTAGATTCTGCCCCCACCCCACCCACAAAAAGAATCCCAGCCAAAATAGTCCCCCAACCTACAACACTCCTCTGTTTGCCTGCTGTACCTGCTTGTCCCACATTGCAAGGGTCACCTCCATTCTGACCAGGGACAGCGGCAGGACTTTGGGGAGGAGAAAGGCCCCAAAATGTGGCTGAGCCAAGCCCAGGTGCAGCCTCTGTTGCACAGCAGGTGTTCAAAAGAGGAATGGTAGATAACACGGAATGATGGCATAGGTGAGGTCATGTGGGAGGAGGCGAAGAGGGAGGGAGTCAGCAGAACAAGGGCAAGGGGCACAGCATGGGCAGAGACCTGGGTGGTGTGATGGAGGAAGAGGAGGAGAGCAAGCAGATGGGGCCAGGCAAAAAATGGGCAGCTGAGTTCTGTGGGGAACCCTGGCACAGGCTGGGTTTTCTGTGCACACGTGTGTGCCTGCACTCTGAGCTTGCTCTCCCTCTGGGTCTCTGTGTGTCAGGGTGTGTCTTCCTTTCTCTGTTTATCTGTCTCTTTCTTTGGGTGTCTTGGGAGACAGAGATAGATAAGAGGTAGGTGGTGGGCTGACTAGGAGAGGGAGGGAGGAAAGGCTTGCTTTTTGATAATTTGATATTTTGTTGGAGTAGGGAACTGGGTTCAAATAAATGGTTTTCTGTTCTGAGTTCCGATTACTCCTTTGCCTTGTAATGAGTTCCTTCGACAATTCGACAACTGGTCAGCATTCCCAGTTTCCACCGTGAAATGGGGATTCTCTGACTGGCCATTCCCACTGCAACAGCCATTTTTGTGTCAGCACCCATAATAGTCTCTCAAAATTCCCAATGGGCCCATCGGCCTCCAAAGATTGAGCATCCCTGCTCTAGCGCAGTACTGAAGAGGCTCCCCCTTTGGGGGCAGAGTCCCCAAGGGGCAGTGCTCCACGTCACACTCACTCATGTGATGCCATGGCTTCAGTCAATCCATACAGGTTGTGCAGGTTGTAGTGGGAGGACAGCTGTTGCTTACTGGAGGCACAGAGAGTTCGTGACTTCAAAGATGCGCCCCGCACACCTGTAAGCGGAAGGAGAGGCAGAGCTGGGGCACTAGGAAGTCATTATGTAGGTGCCAAAAAGCATGTGAATCACAGAGTAAGCTCCACCGGACACAATGGGACTTACTTGCTGATATGAAAATGCTCGTAGCTCTTGGCACTCTGGGATTACAAGATCCCAGAAGCCTTTTTTCTTAAATAGCTGATCCAATTCTGAACAGTGTCGTGATCAATACATTAGTGAAACTCAGCTGAAGGCCGTGTTTTCTGAATATTCCCCAAAATATTGAACATATATGGAAAATCTTTAATAAGGCTTATTCCACCATTTGGCTATTTCCACCACAAAGAAAATTTACTGTTTCATTTTCCTTCTCTGGTTCTCCAACCTCAATCAGTGCTCACTCACAACACCCCCTCTATGTTAGTGGCTCTTTTTTTACCTGGTACATATGGAGGATTCTCAAGCTTGTTGTTGGGACAGTTTTCCAGCGAGCCCTCCACAAAATTTGATGGCTCATTCATGTCCTACAGAGAAGGGGAAAAAGAGGGTGTTTGTGAGCCTTCTTTCTAGGGCTGTGTCCCAGCATGAACAAAGGAAGTTTGGAGAGCCATGTGTACAGCACTTCCTCCCTTACAGCAGGTTCTAAAGAGCAGCAAGTACCAGCATAAGAACTCACAATCCACATGCCATCAAAGGGCACTTGATCATGGAAATCCTTGATCATGTCGTGCCACCATTGCCAGGTTTCTGGGTTGGTGAAGTCAGGAAAGGCAGTGGGGCCAGGCCAAACCTGGAAGATAAAAGGTAGAAGAGCTGGTAGAAGCAGCTGAAAAACCTTGATGTGCCACGGTACTGTGCTAACATGGATCCCTGGTGTACCACTTGTGGTTCCATTCACCTGAAATCTCTTGAGTACAGATGGAATGAGAAAGAGCCAACTAAAAACAAGGCACGGTGAGTCCTATTTGAGGCAGATGTTCAATGGTGACTGTCAATGGAAAAGTGGTGCTAAAAATGCAGCTCTTGGTGCATTCAGACTGAGTACACCTGGCTGGCAATGGCACCAAAATGGAAGATGGAACCCAAAATCAGAAGAACACAGTCTGCCCTTAGTGAAACGCAGAATGTAGGCTCAGTCATGTCGCAAGGGGACACATTGCTTGTCTCCCATTGCTCCATTCAGCTCAAGTGCTACCATTAATAACGGGCTTCAATTCCACCCTATGGCACTTTCTGCTTAGAGTCATGGGCACAACATGGCAAGCTATGCTCAAGTTTGAATATGATGTCAGTGTGAGTTGTCATTGAAACACATGTGTTATTGCTGAGCTGTGAGTTATTGTGTTAATTAAAACCAGCCCTTCTAACAGCCATCTTTTGTTAACCATGAATAAACCACAATTCTTAACCTAACAACAAAGCATGAATTCTTTCCACGGTCTTTGTTTAACAATCTATAGTTAGCTAGCATTGCCGTATCCACATAAGAACACATGCCTCAACAAGAAGCCATGGTTGAATGACAACTCACACTCAGCCATACTCAACTTTGGTATAAGTTGTCATCTTGTGCAAGTGTAGCTGATGGCTTGGTTCACACGATCACTGCAGTCCACTGTAGCTTATTCAGGTCGCACACAGGTGCCAGCTTGCCTGTTCAGGCTCTGGCCATGTTGTGTCATGTCACCTGAACCTGAGCAGCAGGAGTGGCCTGAGGGTCAAACTACTGCCAAACGGCAGGCCAGGGGTTGCTGCCCATGTCCAAAACGCATGACAAGCCACGGCAACCCCCCTCTAGGGGCTGAGTAGTCAAAATGACTGCACACAAGCCTTGCAACCCAGAGTGGCTGCAGTGATCATGTGAACTGGGCCCAAACTGTCCACTGTCTTCTAAGAGCCCTGCTGTGGGACCAAGACTCACCTTCCCAATCAGAGGCTGCCCTGTTGCATTTAAGATGAAGACTCCTCGCTTCAGGCCTTCATCGTACGGTTTATAACTGCCAGAGGGACTGGAACTGCTGATCCCGGAATCCTAGAAGGAAACGGAGGGAGGGACACAAAGGAGCATACAGGGCAGGGAAGGCAAACAGCGCTGTGCAGGGGTGTTGTGCGGCTGCCACTCCTTCCCAACGAAAGCATTCACTCCAGCTGATACTACAAATGTCTGTATTCTAAGCAGTATTACAATTACAGTCACACAGGCTAGAAAGTTGTCCTCTCATTCTAACTAAGTTCAACCTACACTGGGTTTATGAATCCTTTGGGGCCACCCCTCCAAGGGCAGAGCACCGTGACCCCTCGCTTTGCGTCGCTCAGTCAGTCTTGACTCTAGCTGTCCCAGTCTGTACATGCACCTGTGAGAATGAGCATCCTCGAAAGCCCCTTGCCCTTATCTCCTTGGTTCTCACATTCCATCTCAGCTACTTGCAAGACTGTTTTCCCATCTACTCCCAAATTGGCCTCTTGGTTTGACTTCTCCCTGAGCCTCCTTATTTGGCTCATTCTCATTCTCATCATCTGTGAAACTGAGGAGTAAAGATTGTTCTGCTGACACCAGAAAGAGCTCTTCATCAACACTCTGGTTCTCATGGGAAGTTTCCTCCTCTTGTGCGCACGTCCAGGACTCTTCTGAGCGCACGCGCACAACAAGTGGAGGCCCAAGGAAGGAATACACTGCACATCCTTCCTGCTTTGGAACAAGTCCAGATTTAACAGGCAGGCTACCCAAATGACACACAATATGCAGCAGGTGGAGGTTGCTTTATCTATAGGCAGTAAGTTCCAATTGTGGCCTTCACGCTTTGCAGAAAAGCAGCACAAAATGTCACGTTCAAGGAGAAGCACAGAGCTTTTTCCTTTTTTATAATGCACTGAGATGCAACATATGGATACAACATTTAAGACTTAATTCTCTCTCTCTCTCTCTCTCTCTCTCTCTCTCTCTCTCTCTCTCTCTCTCTCTCTCTCCCCCCCCCCCCCCCCCCCCCCCCCCCCCCCCCCCCCCCCCCCCTTTCTCTCTCTCTCTGGGGGAAATACAGAGTGTTATCCTGCCACACAGGCCATGGAAGCACACGCATAGCAGTTCTGATTTTCTGACAGTTTAAGGGTGCAATTCTATTCATGTTCAGACAGGAAAAAAACCCCTATGGTTCCCAGCATTCCCTAGCTTGGACTGCACCCTAAATATACTAATTTTGACAATGCTCTACATATCTGAATGGGTGGTATACAGACACCGCTTGTGAATGGATAGTTAGAGGCATACAGTGTACAATGCTTAGAACACTGCATTTTTAATATTCCTATGCATGCACTGAAATGGATAGATTCAGAAATATGTGGCTACATTTTCCTCTTTCTTTGTTGAAAAATTACAATGCAATGTCATTTTTGAAAATGCTTGCAGTTTGGGGGTATTATCACACCCTTTGCCTGTCTACTCCAGCACAATCTGCCCCAGCCAGACAGCGGCTTTCCAAAGTCACAAGCAGAGGCCTCTCCCAGTCCCACAGCCCATGCTCCTGTTAAGAGATGGCAGCGACTGAACCGGGGATCTTCCTCCCTGGCACAAGCTCCTCTGCCTTCCTGTTTCCGGCCTTTCGCCTTCCACATCAGTGAGGGTGAGAAACAAGAGCCGCCATTTTCAGGAGGCCACGGCCACATCATGCACTTGTCAGAAAGCTTCTGTGTGATCTGCAGCTCTCAGGAACCATTGAAAAACATGCATGACTAATGAGAGAGGCCAGGCAGAGGCAAGGTGTATCTTGAAAGGAAGTACATAATTCCGCAATTGCATTCATCTCCCAGGTCAGGCCAGCAATAGTGGCATCTCACACTTTAAGAGACGAATGGTCGCACATGGTGTGGAGGAGGGGATCCTCCAAAAGAAGATCGGTGGGTGAGGGCTGCGTGCAGCCTGCAATTGTGGTTCGTGCATCCCCTGTCCAATTTTCCCTGCGCTCCAACTAATCAGGAGGCTTTTGGAAATCAGAGGCTTGTGTTTGAAAGGGCTGGGGTTCCCCTGATCTTATTGAATTCTGTGACCCATATCTCAGCAGATATGCTTTGCATGCCAGCAGGGGCGGGGCGGGGGGGGGGAGTTGTTCAAATATCTAAGAACCGTGGCTGTGTGAATTTGTGTGACTACTACCCAGGCTTAGAAAGATTCAAATTGTGTCTTGTGGTAGGGAGAGTAATTAAAATATTAACTTCCTCCCAGTGCCTGTTGGGTAATGCTCGATCTGCTTCACACTGCTACCTTTCTCCATGAGATCACATCTGCAGGCACCTGAGCAGCCCTTCTGTAATCTTGGCCTCACTTTACCCAGCAGCGACTATCATGGAGTTACCTGCAGGATCCCTACATGTGCTGCTAAGCATGCGCTCGCCTTGCTCCAGGATCCTCCCATACCATGGGAGCGTAGAAAGGACGCTGAGACCCACCCCTTGGCTTCCAAAACTGAGCAGAGATGGAATGTCAAAGCAGGACATGACACTCACCAGCTGCATCAGGTATGAGAACGTATGGAAGAGGAGCACTGGAAGTCAGCCATTGGAACGCAGTGCCATCTGAATGCTTTGTTAAGAAGTGGATAAGCCAAGGAGGGCAATTTCAGAGGAAAGGACCAGTGTGGAAGCACCCCAAGCCAGTTACACAGAAAGGAGCAAAGCTAACTTGATCCATTTTCTCTCCTACACAACTCCCAGAGGACAGGGGAGGGTGTCACCATTGTGAGGTGACCCATCATAAGAGAATTTGGCCTTTGTTAACTTACCACAATCATGACATACCTCCGACCATCACGATGGAAACCGTTCACCATCTCTGGCATATCCCAGAAACCATCCCGGTTGAAGGTAAAATCTCTCCCGGCATCTGCATAATCCAGGTCATTCCACTGCGCATCCTGTGAAGACCAGGAATGCTGAATTAGGGAGGGTGTGGGCCACTGTCTTGCCCTCCATCAACAGGTGGCCCCACTTTGTGCAGCTACCAGCACAGGCAGAGCCAGCTGTACGAGCTCAAGCCCTGTCAGGGAGATGGCTTGTTTTGGATACAATTCGGAGAAGCCACCTACCAGGGGGAACTGTGCAGCTGTCATGTTCTTCACCACTTCCCGGGTGACAGAGGTGGAAGTGTATCCCCAGCGGCAGAGGTGGAAGCCTAGGGCCCAATATGGCGGCATGAATGGGTACCCTGAGCGAGGCAGTGGGGAGAAAAGAAACAAGCTCCAGTAACCAGCTACTGAGGCCCACAAATTTCTCATGTAACCGAATTGCCACCCTCAGCACATCTCTAAAGAGCTGAACTTTATCATTCTTTTTTTTTCCTTGGCAAGTCAGTAAAATCTAACTTACTATCTATTGTGGGATCTCTACCTATCTATCTAGATAGAAAGATCTCAAAGTTTGGTCTTTTGTGCTGTAACTGAGGAGAAAGGAGGGTCAAGAGGCAGCCTTCCCCCTCAGAACATTCTTAGAACAATTTTGCTAATTGTCATCGATGCACTGTAAATAATAAATCAATAAATAATACATGTGTAGTCCACAAAGTTCCCCAAAACATGGAATATCAGAGTGAGAGTGCTGGCAATTTTAGCAACCATAGTTGGGGCTACCTCCAAGGTTACGTGTGCATGAGTTTTAGAATAAACAAAGCCCATTCATGTAGGAGAAAACTGAATGAACACTGCAGGCAGCATCAGCAGCTGTAGCTGCCACCATTTTAACTTCTCACAATGCCCAGTGTGACTATGATGCAAGCTGTGTGAAAAATTAAAGTAGAGGCCATCAAGCACTGCCACAGCCACTGTCAGATAAGTCTGATGCAGTTCCATGACAGATGAAGCTGGGGGACCTGTAGGAGAGACTTCTACCCATGGCTCCCTCAAACTGGAGCTGGCCCTGGACAGAGGTCCCATTCCTGGAAAGCACAGCAGTTCCATGACCTCCTGACACTGAACCCTCACCCTCATGCTTCTCTTTTGCTTAGGGGTTGCCCTGTTTGAGAGTTTTCTAACACAAGCAGGACACTGATTAAAGCAGAAACTATAAAAAGAGCTAAAGCAGCTATCTAGAGGAAGGAGAAGTTTGGTAGCAGGACTTCTCGCAGCCACAGCACTGGATGCTGTACTGGCCCGGCCACACTAAGTACACAGGTGGCAGCTGCCCACAGAGGTTCACCGGCCCACAAGAGACAACCAAGAAGGCCCTTCATCAGGTCTGTAGGTACCTGCTCATAAAGAAGAACACAAGTGCCTACCAAGGACATCCATATACTGGCGCACCACACTCTTTGGGTCTGGGCCCAGGAAGATGTAGAAGTCCAGGATACCACCAGTTGTCCTCCATGTTAGGGCTGGACTGGGCTGAAGTATCACATCTGCAAGTCAAGCAGTGGCATGGAAATGGCACTGTTAGGAGGACATGACAGGGCAAATGTACCTTCCCGTTTGGAGCCCAGATACGCCAGCAGGACTTTATCATCACAGCTCACATGCAACAATCGTGTCTCATCCTAGTGGGTTATTCTGCCTACAGTTATGCTGACAAGAGCAGCTGGCTGTTGCCCCTTCACTACATTAAATGCTTTGACAAAATTAGAAGATATTCTGCACTTTATGCTCAACAGAGGGGAAAATAATTGACAAAAAGCTTAAACAGGATAACACATTTAAGACTGGTATTGACACACTTTAAGACCAAGCCCCAGTGAAAATGACAGATCTTACTCCTGAGTCAACATGCCTAGGATTGCACTGTTAGGTAAGAAACTAAACTAGGGGCCAATATGCCCACAGATACCACTTGGTGACCACCAGGCTCCCTGCCCCTTCTGTTTGTTTGTTTGGTTGTTGTTGTTTTTTACATTTCTTTCTATTTTTAAATTAAAGCATTTTTAAAAAATCCAGGAGTCTGGCTTGCTGCAAAGCAACTCGGGTTCAAAGCTTGGGTTTTGTATTTTGCAGCTCAGTCCACACCTTTGCCTTGTATTTAGGCTCCTGGCCAAGTAACTGTTCTTTCAGTCTCACCAGTTTGGCTACTGGGAAAAAACAGTTTCGTGACCAGCCACACCTATCCGGGTGGCCATTTTATGGAGGGGCAAGATGCCCCCATAATAGTAGCCATTTCAAGAGAATGCTTACAACTCTCTCACAAAATTCCCACAAACCTCAAAAGTTTGGGAACTACCACATACAAGGGGCGTACTCATACCAACCCATTGCATTGCTGTTCAGCAAAAAGACTCCATGGGCCAAGCCACCATCTTCCAATGCTAGATAGAAGGGATGTGAGCCATACAAATTGGCAGAGGGCTAAAAATGCAGAAGAGTACACAGAGTTAAGATCGCACTGTTAGTGTCATTACATTTCGTGAACAACCTGCCTTTTTTCTTCTTGTGAGGAAGGCGAGCTGGCTGGCATAGTTCTCCTGCGCTCACTCCATTACTATCCTCACGACAGCTGCCCTATGAGATGGCGTTGGGCTGAAAGCGCACGATCGCCAGTCTGACTGTCATGCATTCTCCCAAGGAAACTCGAGCACTGCAGCAGGGCAAGGTGCTGAGAGTTCACTGCCAAGAGGTTTTGAGCCCCTTAAAAAGAACTGTGCATCCTGTTGTTTTCTGGCAAGAAAGACATCACAGGCTTAAAGTGGCATGACAACAGAGTGGGACCTGCCACAAGCGGGGGTAGCGTGTAGTGGCCCTGCTCAGGGTTCCAGCCAGCCAGCCAGCCAGCCGATTCCGTTCCATTCTATGCCACCTGTCCAGTCTCCTGTTCACTCTGCTCCAACACACACTGAACCATTTGCGGCTGCTCAGTTTTTAAAGGGGTGGATGCAAGAGAGGAGTTTCCTTAATGTTTCTGCAGTTCTGCAATCCTTGGGGTTTCCCCTGCAATTACCAAACATTTCCTCTTGTATGAATCTGGTGTAAGGACTGAAATCTCGTGACTGCATTTGCTTAGTATAAAGAAAACTTGGTGGAAATGTCTTTGAACAGATACAGAAAGGTTTACATCATGAAACATTGATTTGGGCAGGTGGATAGATTTCCTGGGAAGAGATTTTATGGAACAGCAGCAACCAGGTCACATTGTACCAAGCACTGAAATAGTTCCTTTCACACCTGGACAAAAGAATCAGACTTTATCAAAGATTAATTTATGTCCAAGGATAACTATATCCTGATTAAAATACTTAGACTGCTGGCAGGCAGCCTGATGCCATCTAGATATTTTGGAATATATAATCCCTGCCCACTGGCTGTGCTGCTGGGAGTTGCAGTCCAAAATATGTGGTTCAATCGTACATGTGAAAGGGTTCAGCTATCTACTGCTGACACAGGGACTCATCCCACCCAGGTGAACACCATCGTTCCCACTCCATGAATTACCGCAGGTGCCATGTCCCGATTCCACAGGGTAATCTTGGTCCAATTGACGTCAAGGATGAGCGGGGTCAAGTGCTCCCCCAGTCCAGAGATGACACGTGACGGCAGGGAGGTGGAGATCTGCAGGAACTGGTCTGCATAGAACAAGGGAGCCACTGAGGTATTGAACCTGTTCAGGAGAAAGTGGACAATTCCAATAAGCTGCTTTCCATTAATTCTTCCTTTTCATACCCTTACCTTGCCCATCCAAGGTATTGGATATTGGGAAGGATCGTTCCCAGTGGGCCTTGGCCTGAGAGAACAACTGCAAACGGCCACATTTTCCCTCTCAGTCCAGGCCCATTGGAGCCACCAAGGAACTCCTCAAAGACAGGGGTCAGTGTAGCCCTCAGCCAAGCACTGCTCCTAAAATGATCACAGGGGCTTCCTTTGGAAGGATACAGGTGCTACCGAGTTTTAGGGAGAAATTGTCTACACATACGCACAATGCTTCAACAGGTTTTTTGACCCCATGGCTTTACCATGTGGTCAACCTGTAAGCCAGCTGCCCACATGCAGCTCTTGGTTGCCTGAATTCACTCTAGATGTCCAATCAAAAAGCAGTCCCTGAATTAGAAGTTACTCTGCCAGAGAGGTCTATGACAATTTTTTTCTCACTAGGCCTTACACCTGTGATTTAAGAGTTGCACCATGGATATACGTTTCATGGGACAATTGTCTTCATCCCCAGGCACTCTCATTCCTCTATTATCTTCTCACAGCTTTTCAGCTTCATTCGCTTGATGCTCTTGGAAGACAGGCGGAACAAAAATATTCAGAATTAAAAAGTCACAAACTACTTACAGAACCTGCCCACTGGATTTTCGAAGAATAACAAGCCCAAAGGGATCGGAAGAGAACTCTACAGAGTAGAGGGTTGAGGATATCCAGTTTTGCATTTTGGGGGTGTCTAAAGGAACCTCATAACGTTTCTTAGCTGGATCTTTAAGCTGTGGAGGAAAGGCCAGAGAAACAGCATTACAGGGTTGTTATGAGCTCTATGGGAAAATGTTTCATCATTCACAGGGAAGGGCTGTTGATCAGATAATCTGAGCCAGACTTCTAGGGATGTAGCATCTGTAGCAAAACTAAAACTAATTGAGAGAAATGGAAAAAGGAGATTATTTGTGAGTTTGGGGTTCATTTCATAGCCAGGACCCAAGCTGTCTGGGGTCAAAGGAACTATGTGCTTTTGTGGACATTAGAGAAATGCAGGACATGCTCATTCTTACTTCTGAATTGCAGTTTAGAAAGCAGCTATCTAGAAGCAGTAACTGCAATTAAGTCTGCACTCTTATATGTAAACACCTGGGAGTAAATCCTATTGAACTAAATGGTGCTTACTTCTGATCCACAGGACTGCACTATTAATCTTGGTGCCCAGAATTTTGGTGGCTAGCTAATGGTATGCTTATTCAGAATCTTTGCACCTTTTATGCTTCAATGTTTACTAATTGCATTATTTAGCTTGGTTTTGCTAGCAGCATTCTGATAATCAGGGAATGGCTGCATTGCCCTGATTATCGGAATTCTTAATCAGTCATCTTTTTGGCTTCTGAGATTTCAGCTACATTTATATCCTGCCTTTACTCCATGGAGTCCAAGGCAGTCTACATGGACTTCCTCTTCTTCTATTTGTAAAGGTGCTTGCTTTTTTATAAAGAATGCTGAGTACTGAATTGCAGGGCATGAAATCAATTGATATACAAGCAATTGAAAATGATTTAAGCTAGCCCAACTGTGGTCATTCCAAATGTTTTGAATTGTAATTCACACAGCTCTTGAGCATTACCTATGCTATCTGGAGCTGATGGGAGTTGTAATCTAAAACACCGGGAAGGCATAATGCTAGAGAAGATTGATGTTCTCTCTCTACAACAGAGTGGCCACCTTGTGGTTTTCCAGATGTTTTGGCCTACAGCTCCCATCAGGCTTAGCCAGCATAGCCAGTGCTGAGTGATGAGAGGAGCTACAGACCAAAACATTTGGAGTACCACAAATTGTCCATCCTGCTCTACAGGGTAGACTGCCTCAGGCCCCTCACTTTGCAGGCAGGAGTTCTTACCGTGAAATGAAGCCTACCCTCTGTTTCAAAGGCCACATCCAGCTGCACATCCATGATATTGTCCGGGATGAAAGTGGGCACATCGCGGATCAAGTGGGCAGTATAGCCAGTTCTGGTGGTTGTCAAGTTCACCATCTTGTAACTAGGATAGCTGGGGGGGAAGAAGCACCATGGCTGCGAAACAGCAGGGCCCTTGGGGAAGACCGGGGCATAGCAGCAGCCCCGAGCATGGCATTCTTCTTGCGAGATCAGCCTTTCTGGGGCACAGTCAAAGCGGCTGTCTGGAGGGACATCACATGGTGCAAGCTGCAAAGTGGGGCCTCTGAAGGACTCAGGCTCTTCTACAGGTTCCAGTGGCATCTCTGCTTCTTTGCCTTTGTTCCTACTCCAGCAATCACTCTCTGCTTCCGAAGTACCTGCAGTGTTGATGGCAACCACAGCTGCTCTGCAGACCCCAGGAATACCACACACTGTAATCACAGCAGTGGCAACAGAAACCCACAGAATCATGCAGAGTCCCTTCTGATGGGGCTTCTCCATCACCAACACTGGAGCCATTAAGAGACGGGCAGGTGTGCACTCCTCAGCAGGCACAGGGCTCATCCATGCATCCAGCTGCAGGCAAAATGCAGACGTGGACCTATGCTGTACAAACACACCACAGGCAAGGAGCTCAAGGCATACTGCTGATACAAGGCTTTCCCATTTTCCAAGGCCCCACACTGTTGCTCAGCAACGATTGCTTTTCTGAACTGAAGACTCAGCACATCAATCCTGCATGACAGGATATGAAAAATCAACTCGTCTTTGTGCTTAATGCTACTTCCTATCCGTTTCATGGCACTCACGGACTCTCTTCACAAGCCCTCGGGCACCCCTTCTGGGATCCGCTAGGCTAGCTTTGCCCAACGACTGATTTGGGTTCATTCGTTAAGAGATGCTCAGGCAACCTCAGGAGGGCTGTTCGTGTACCGTGTCCTGACACTCCCCATCGTTTCGTCACCAGCCTCTGCTCTAAAGAAAAAGGAGGAGCAGAGCACTCCTTCGGGGCCCATCACAACTCCAAATCTTCAGGACCGGCTGCGGAGATATTAAGAGCCTTGCTGAAGAAAAGGCAATGTTTTGCTTGCCTTGGAGGCAGAGAAGTCTTGCCCCCCCCCCCCCCCCCAAAAAAACCCCCAGTACAAAACCGATCCTAAACTCGCCGCACCTTTGCCTACCCCAAGGCAGCCTTCCCAACCTGGTGCCAGCCAGGTGTTGGACTACAACTCTGGCACGGGATGCTGTGAGTCGAAATTTAACATGTCTGACGGGCATCAGGATGGGAAGTCTGCTATAAGGGGAAGGCTATGCGTGCCACGGGCGCGGAGCGGCAAAAGATGCCCACGCGAAGACCTGCTGGCCCTTACCGGGCGCGACCACACTCACCCCCGGCCAGGGCTATGCTCGCACCAGGCAGGCAGGTTCGGAGAGTTCTCGGCCGTCACGTGAGCAGCTGATCACATGACTTCCCCGGCCCTGCCAGTTTCCACCCATGCCTGTCTGCGGGACGGCTCGGATAGAGGGGATCGGGCGGATACTTCCCTGCATGCAACCGTCTGTCGTGATTTATGTGAAAATGGCCTTCACAATATTAATCAGATGAAATTCTCTGCACTGCTTGGACGGTAGTGTTATTCTAGCGTTTATGGGAGTTCAAATCTCGTTGAATCCTAGCTCCCGTAGTGTCCGTGGAAGACTTCCCGATGCTCAAAGTTTCACTAGATGTTCTTGCTTTTCCCAGAAAAAAGTATTTATTTAATACTTTATACCCAGTTTTTTTCTTCTTGCAAAAAGCCCAAGACAGCCTACATGGTTCTCCTCTCCCTTTTATCCTCGTACAAACCTGTGAGGTAGGTTAGACTGAATGTCGGTGACTGACCCAAACTCACCCAGTGAGCTTCATGGCCAGATCTCCCGTGTTCCAGTACAATACATCTGGGGTTCTGATTTCAATTCATCAAAAGTGATCAACAACCTGTCCCTCGCCCCTCACACACACGCCCCACCAGGCACACAGCCGCCCCCAGCAGCAGCAAAACGGGATGTAAAACTATTCAGACCAATCCTGACCATTGACGTCTATTGTGAAACTGTCTTTGCTTTTGGGGATAGTTGTAATGAGGACCATTTCATCATTCTCCTGTTGACAAAGGATGGACTATTGGCTAGCTGTCCCAGCCTAGCCTTCCCCAGCACAGCTAGAGCTGAGAGGATGCTGGGGGCTGCAGTCCAAAACATCTGGATGACACCAGGTTGGGGAAAGCTGTCCTAGCTTCTGTTACTTATGAGAGAAATATGTACATCTTTTTGTGTTTTGGAATTCAATGCATTTAAAGCATGGAAATATTAAGCTACATTTTTCTAGTTCAGCAGTTTTTTGGTGGTATATCTGCTTATTACCACTGGGTTTTCTTCTAGATGACTGTATGAAGGTGTGTTCTTAGACCGTCTTGCACAATTCTGGCTAGATACAAAGTCTGCTTCATTCTGCACATTTTTATGCTCAGGAATGATGCTTATGCACATAAAAAGACTCAGGTAATGTAACTCTTACAAAGTGTGTGTGTGCTCCCCCCCATCACATAAATATTCATAACTCTTTTAAAAATCATGTGAATTTCCCAATCCCAACACTTTCTTAGAGTCTGTCAGTTCAAGTGAGTGCCTATAGAAAGACTAAACAAAAACAAGAGCCATTTCATTTCACTCATTATGGACCCAGTGGACTTTGAATGCTTTGGAATTTACAAGATAACTTTCTTAGTCTGGACTTAAGTCACTCTGCATCAGTTCTAAATAAAAAACGTACTCTATTTGGAGATGATATGCATGGATTTCTGCACATGAAAACACCGTTAAAATGGGCTAGCCACACACCTTGCTCAGAGGCAATAATGAATTTAATAGTAAAATGGCAAGTATTACACATTATGATTTTTGTTTTTTAAAATATGCTTTTGCAGAACTTTGACACTCACAAATTAAATGTATTTATTTAAAGAATTCAGGCTGCACCTTCATCCATCAACAATTCCAGTATACTACACATAAAATTATAAAAACAATGTAATAGTCAGGTGGCAAGTCAGCAAAATGACTCCAAAAACATCAATCAATAAATAATTTTTTTTGTGTTATGAACTTGCAGCCTTAGCAGGAAATGGTTAAGGACAGAACCAGAAAAGACAAGTGCATTCTCTTATATGTTCTCTTCCATATGCATTATGTCTACATTATTTAATATCAAAACTGAAACTGCTGGATATTAAACTTACCTTAAAGTTATACCCTTTGGACAGTATCCAGTGCCGTGTGTGTGCTAGCAGAACCTACTGCTACGTGCAACAAGAAGCTAGCAGGTCAGTAAGAACATGGAAACAAGAAGTAGGTTTTCTTTCTGGAATGCAGCTGGTCTGCAGAACTCACAGAAGGGAGTTCTATGATTTGTCCTATTCCATTAACTGGCATTTCCTGAGTTGCTTTATGAAGTGCCTGCTTCCTTTTGCCCTGGTTGTAGGCCTCACTGGTACAAGAAGCAGTGGGAGCACAGTGGCACGACAATATAGGATACAACTTATGGATTTGAAAGTCCTTTCCTAAATTCCTTGCTGGTATGTATGTATGCATATTCTGTGGGGGAGTGTGAGACACCTCATGGATTCTATGTGAAAGAGAAACTAATGACAGATCTTTTGTTTTTATTCTTCTCTAAGGGTGCAAACCTTTGCAAGTTTAAACAAAGAAGAGGACTACCACTTCCAGCTGGCTGAATCATATTGGGATTTGTAGGCCTTTTTTCTATCTAAATTCATATAAGATTGTGTCTTAAATTGACATATAGTAAATTGGTCCTTCTGTTTAGAGACAGAAGGCAAAATCAGAGGTAACAGCAAACATAAAAGTGTATGCCACTTCCGAGCTGATGGTCAGCACGTTTATCCCCACACTGAGTTCCTCTTTCCTGTTTTGCTTCTGCAGACTAAAGGTCAGGCAATCATGTTACATTCATTTTCAAAAAGATATTTATTTATGAAATGTCTAAAATGTAAATGTTTTGGTTCTAAATTCCCCGCTCCCTGCTACTGTGCTGCTTATGCATCCAGCCTGTTGCTTAGGATTTGGATGAGCCTCCGCAATGTCCTTTGGTGTTGAGGATATTCCTGCTGAATCTGATGGAGAATGACATTAATGGCATGCAGTCGCTCCTCCAGCTTCTGCCGCTCAACGCGTATCATAATCTCAGTACGGCATATTGGATTGTATCTCCCTTCCTTCACTGCCTGCATGTGCTTTATACGTGTCTGGTGGGCCACAATATCTGAAAGGTTCTTCAAAAAGCAACATTGCATGCCTTATTAGAGACAAAAGGCTATAAGCAAAGGCAACAAAGAACAAATACTATATTTTTCCATCTATAAGATGCCCCCATGTATAGGACGCCCCCTACTTTTCTTACTGATCTCCAAGTGAGCAAGCTGCTGCCTCGCTACGCCTGCCGCTCGTGCACCCGCAATCGTGCCAGTCTCTCCTCTGAATGCACCCGAAATCGTGCCAGTCTCCCCACCTGAGCATGCCCACAATTGCATCCATCTCCCCCCCAAGCACGCCTGCAATTGCGCCCGTCTCCCCCGTGAGTGTGCCTGCGCCCGCTGCCACCACCTTTCAACTGGCCCCGTTGAAAAAATTTGTGGACCCCTGGGCTACATGCTCTCTGCAGCATCAGCTGACATCAGTTACATAAGGCTCATGATTGGAGGAAACCTATTTAGCTTGTCTCTGCAATCGGAAGTTTCGCTCGTGAGACTAATTTGCAGAGATAAGGTATTGGCAGTTTCGCAACAGCAGTTCTCCTCTTGGCCCCCTGTATAGAAGATGCCCCTCCATTTTTAGGTAAATATTTTAAAGAAAAAGTATCATCATATACAAGGAAAAATACGGTATCTCCACTGCCTCTTGAGGTAGAAACAGCTATATAGCAAAATTCTGTTCAGTCCCACATGCACAGACCAGTGACTGATTTTTACTAGACAAGATGGAAAACAGGCAATAAAATAATGGAAGCTCCTAGGAATTTCCAAAAATGAAACTCCACAATATAGCTGCACTGGGCCAAATTAAAATACATAAATTAAGCTCAATTAAATTTACAGTTATTTGTCATTAATTGGCTAAGCAGTATGAGAAAAAGCACAAAACCTGGTTAGTTTCAGATTCCTCTCAGTTTTACTGAGAGTGCTTCTGGACTGATGGCTCCTGGCGTCAAAAGAGCCTTGTGCAGCGATTCCATCTTTTCCTCTTTATTTGTCTTTTTGTGCATGGGGTAAAAAAAAAATAGAATATGGAAAAAGAACTAGCATCTTGAATCGGGCCCAGAAACAAGCTATAAGCCAGTAGATCTCATATAAGAGGAATGTAATGTGACTTTTAATGTGCAGACCAGAAAGCAATATGGATGCAGCATTTTATACCAGCTGCAGTTTCATCCTTCAATTGGCAACCCCAAGTAGAGCACGTTGCAGGAATCTAAATAGCAAATGACTGTATCCTGTCATACAACTGCCATGCCGGTTGCAACAGGGCAAAGGCACTCATGGCAATGGCCCCCACCTGAGCGTCCAAGAACAAAGCTGGATTGCTTGCGGACAACCCAGAAACACGCCCACGCTGTGTGACTGATCCCTCAAAGGGAATGCAGGGATAGGTCTGAAATAGGTTTTACTCCCAGTCCTGGTGCCATGTAAATCATATAATGACCCCCTTTTGAGGTACAGAGTTACCAGAAGGAAAATGCTGAAGAGTTGGGAAAAACAGGTTTGTATGTGTGCAAAGCTAAGTGGAATGTGAATAGCAAGATGCATTTGGCAAAAAAAATGGACAAAGGAATTTTCAGCTACAAACCTGGGGCAAGAGTCTATAAGAAAGGTGATGTCCCTCAGTATTAAACAGTGAAATTTCCAGAAGAAAAGTTTTTTCCCACATTGCAGAAACATTTGGGAAGAAACTGAATTTAAGTTACATCAAAATTAGTAGAACTTGGAGGAACCACCCACTCTAGGATAATATTTTTTAAAAAGGAAGATTACAGACTGCCCAGTAAGTATTCTGGTGGGATCTAATATGGCTTCTTTGAAAGCAGACTTCCAACCACCTCTTTTGGGGAAGTCTGTTGTTAAAACAGAGTCCTAGCTGAACTGGATCTGAGTGATTTTATCAGCAAAGTGTTTCATAAAATCATCACACTGGGATGGGCTCACATGTTAAGACAAGTTACACTGGGAATAAGCTACAGTGGATGGATTGCCTGTCATTTTTTATAGTCAGTGACCACCTCTGTAGCCTACCATGGCTTATTCTGCCCTTGGTTCCTCAGTTCTCCAGCCTGCTGCTGGCAGGTATTCCAGGGAGCTGTGTGGCAGAAAAACTTGTTTCCCCATTCCCTAAGTCAGCAACCTTTCTACAGTTGGTTCAGTGCAGCTGTTGACTGATGAGGGAAGCTCTCCAGATGCAACAGCTGCAAAAGGAAATAACTTTCCGATCCCTTATGAATCTGGGACTGCATTTGCTTACAGTTTTTACACTCTTGTGCAAGAGCAAAACACCACCTGTCTGTTGTTTAGCCAACCTTCTTCTTATCTGCCTCTTATCAGTGTCCACCACTTCAGCATTTCCCTTATATTGGAGCAACAACTCCTGTGGGAAGGAGTTTTTATTTTTTCCAGCTAGGAAATTTGTGCAAATTTCCCCACTTGCTCTGCTGTAGGTTTGTGTAATTTCCCTGTACAGTCAATGACCTGGTCTGTTCCACTCATTGTAATTAACTTGTACGACAAGCTGTGGGTTCTCAGGATGGCCTGTGTATGGTTAACAAATGGTGTTGAATCAACTGCACCAGGTTTGCTTGGCATCAACATGCTGTGGAAAGCCATGCTGGCACTAACAAGTCTTGCAGCCCTCTGTGGATTATTGTAGCATGCTAATCCACTGAGCAGGTTGCTGAGGAGCCCCTTTCATTTCTCTGGGGCCCAGAATGGAACGCCTCCTTGATATGATGAAGCCAACCCAACTTGGGGATAAATAGCTATGGATGAAGAAAGAAGCTGTCTAAATCGGCCACCAAGTAAGAGGGCACATGTGTCACAAGGACTCCCAGCCATGCTCGCTCACCTGCCGTTTCTTTGCCTGCAAGTGATCCAGTTCTAGTTCAAGGTCATCCATCTCACCAGTCAAGAGGGAGATTTGTTTCTGCTTCTCCAGAAGTGCATTGCTGATGTTTCTCTGTGAATTTTCAAGCTGGGTTATAGTTTTGTTGCACTCCTCTGCATTCTAAGGAAGGAGAAGAAAAACGACATTCAGCCTTCCTGTACCAGCACTCTTGATGGATGCTTCTGTGAGAGATGTACTACCTCCCTTGGGGCTGTGTCATGCTATACATTTTTCCTGAACAGCAATGATCCTCCATGTACAGTCATTTGCGTTCAACACAAACCTTGCATTTCGCCATGAATGCATAGATTAGACAGCACGCATTGGGCGGCTGCTGTGGAAACCCATGTAGCTTGCATCGAACTTATTTCATGCTTGCTATGTAATGATGCACATGATTTTCCCAGGAGCTGGGCAGAAATATACCATTGATGTTCAGGTTTACCTTCCAACTAACCTGCAATTTCATTCCTCATGTACTATAAGGAAAGGTAGGTAGGCAGGTTTAAATGATTATGGTCTACAGTTGACAAATAATAATTTATACAATAGTCTTCCTTCCAAATTCTGCTTGTTTAGTTTTTTTAATATAAAACTAAACACTACATATAGACAGTAGTGTGCTGAATAACTGCTGACACCGAGATCTTATGGATTACAGCTTTTAATGTTGGCAGAGATGGGATTTTGTAATTAAGTAATTCCAGCTTCAGTTGCTCTCCTGTGCGAGTGAGCTGCTCCTGCTGCCTTCCAAATCTTGTTGGTTCTGGGAGACTCCTTGCTGATTTGCAGTCTGGGAAATCACTGTTCCCAGTTCTGGTGCATAGGAAAAGCTGGAGACCAAAATTCTCTGACATTACACCTAGGACAGCATAAGAAATTCCACTGAAGAAGCAGGTGACCATGAATAAAGATCTTCTGTGCAGTGTGGCATTCATACCTTTTTAATAAGGCACTAAATTTCATGCTAGGAAGTCTAATTACTAGAGCACTAATTAGAAAGAGAGCACAGGATAAGATGACTGAACCAACTCTTAATGCCATTTCAGGGAAACACTGCAAAAAGGACTGGTTAAATATAGCCTGGGTGAGGTATGCAAGTCTGTGAAGTTCCCTAGTGGGCCATAAAGCAAAGCTGGCAATAAGGATCTCTGTGGCTCTATTGAGTTACTGTTGCCCCTTTTTACTTGCTGACCTTCTGAGTCTCTTTGATCTTTTTCATTAGTTCCAGCTTCTTGTAGTGGAAATCACCCTTGGTGAGCACTTGCTTATTCAATTTACTCTGGCCCTCTCCGCGAATCACAATGGTCTCTCTGCGGGCAACAGCTGCCTCCATATCCCGCATTAGCTTCTCCTGCTGCTTCATCAGCTGCTGGTACCTTACCTTCAATTAAGAAGGGAGGCAAACAGGATGAATACACCTTGACAATCAGGCAAGAGAAAAATGTCACTTTTCTATGTTTTATATTTCAGCAATTCAGACAAGAATGAATGACACATGAGCATCAGCCACCCAAAACTTTGCACAGTATGATTCTGTAGAGCTGAGACACTGGGCTACTGTATTGATTTGTGGATTCTGCAACAGGCTTTGGAGCAGTTGCAGATGTTTCACAGAATCCATGAAGACTCTTGCTGCAGAATGCCAGGGATCATGACCAAGCAAATAGCAACCTCTGGAATTATACCTACGAGTAGGTTTCTCCCACCCTCCACTCTCTCTGTGCCTCCAATATCCCAGAACAACCTGTTACCTGGAAATCCTTCAAAGAAAAACCTTCTAAATATATAGAAAATCAAAGTCAGCAGCCAGAAATAGATTAATGTAAACACATCTGAAAATACGTTACATCCATAATAATATCCTAGTTGAAGAAACTGTGTTTCTCCTTTCAGAAATTAGCGTATGCCTGTTACACCATTTTGGAACTGTGAGGTACAAATTCCTCCAGGCTTCACATATTTACTATATGCAATGTTTTCTCCAACAGACTTTACAAACATTAGATGCAGCAGTAGAACAGGAAAGGAACAGCAGCAACCTAGGTGGAAAACACATGTTGCTTGGACTGAAAAACCCATTGGCTCAGCACCTTGGGCTCCTGATCTTCCACTTCTCATACATTTCCCATGCTTTGGGCAGATTAGGCAGAGAGCAGAGTTGTCTGCCCCAAGCTTCCAATCCCACCTGCATCCTGTGAATTTCAGTCTTCATGGCTCGGATCTCACCCTGCCCAGTCTCCGAGTCCACTGCAGCACGCATTTCTTTCGCCAACTGTATTTTCTTTTCCCATTGCATCATCTGACATCTGAAGCAACAGAACGGAAGGAAAAACATTTATATGGAATAGGGAAGATGCTTCCTTGGCTTTGATGCGTCTGTTTAGTCAAAGCAATCTCAGTTAATTCTGAAAGGTCACAAAATGGTTTAGATGTGTGTGGGAGTGGGAGGTATGTCACTTATCATTATCGATGGCATGAGCTCATACAAGCCTGAACACCCATGCAAACCACATTCCAGAAAACACTACTGGGGACTGCATGCAAAAAATAAAATCGCCAGGAAATTGTTGACCTTCGATAAGACCACAAAATCCATCCTTGATTATCTGACCACACAGTGGCCCACCTGCTGCCCAAGAAAACAGAACACGAGAGCAGCAGCCTCCTCAGGTGCATGTTCTGCAGCAACTGGTGTACAAAGGCATCCTGCCTCTGATACCTGAGGTAGCACGGAGACTTCATGACTACATCCACAAGTTATAACCACTGTCTCCAAAAATTTGTCCAGTCCTCTTTTAAAGCTGTCCAAATTAATGGCCATCACTACATCTTGTTGAAGTGAATTCTCTACCTTAAATATGTACTGTGTGAAGAAGCACTTCCTTTTATCTGTTCTGAATCTCCCACCAATCAGATTCATGAGATGACCCTGTATTTTAGCATTATGGCAGGGAGAATGTCTATCTGTTTTCTCCACACTATGCATACTTCTATAGACTTCTAACATGTCTCCTGTTATCTGTCTTTCTTTCTAAGCAAAACAAGCCCAGCTTTTGGAACCTTTCCTTGTAGGGAAATTGGTCTAGCCCCCATGATTACTGTACTTTAGTTTGCCTTTTTTTGCATTTTTTCCAATGCTGCAATTTAGGTGCAGTGAGCAGAACTGTGCATGCAATAGTTGCACCAGCTTGTATAAGGACAGTATGGCCTTTATACCATTATTTTCATTCCTTCTCCTAATTACGCCTAACACTGAATTTGCATTTTTCACAGCAGCCTCTCATTGAACTGTCATCTATGAGACATCTTTTACTTTCCCCTTTTATTTATTGTTCTTATTACTTTTATAGTTTATTACATAACGTTTAAGTACAAGTATATTATTTACTGAATTATCCTATTTGTTGTCATATAATGTACTGTGCGCTGCCTGGAGAGCCTATGGCTAAGGGGTGCAGCATGCAGCTCCAACAAACAAACCATCTACAGCCCCAAGATCTCTTTCTTGTTCAGTCACCACTAGTTTGGATCCCATCAGCTTATACCTGAAGATGGCTTTTTTTTTTTTTGCCCCAAAGTGCATCACTTTACCCTTGCTTACCATGAACCACATTTGCCATTTTGATGCCCTGGTTTGGAGACATCTTTTGGAGCTCCTCATAATGCCTTTGGTATTTAGGGATAGACATCGGTAGGCAGGGTTTAATTTTCCCAGAAACAAAATCACTATTGCATGAAATTGTGACCTCCCAACAAGAGAATGCTACAAGACAATGTGTGGCTCTCACAGATATGCTAAGAACAAGTGCAGGATTGTTGCATTAAAAAACAGCATCTAGAAAGACCCTCCACCACATTGTGTCAGTGAACAATTGCCCTGCCATGTATTCTGGGCATGGAGGCAGCTCTCAGCTGAACTTTGTGTCTGAAACAAGGAGGATGTCTAATTTAAAGTCCTTCTGATTCTGCTTTGATTGACATATTGATTCTTCTTTCCTCCAGAAGTGGAAAGATACGCTCACAAAGAAGCATGTATATTCACGAGCTGGACTAGGAAAGAGTCAGATGCCATAATACAAAACAGCACTCACTCTGCCTCCACTAGGCTGTTGAGCAGTCTCTCTTTTTCCTCATGGAGTTGGTCCAGTTTCTCTTGCAACTCAATTGATTCTCTCTCTGATACCTGGAGCCAGAGAGACATTCATTATGCCCTTTATCCGTTTGGAGAAAAAAGGCCAAAATGAGGATGGATGGATAATACCAGGTTAGCAGGACCCTTGCTAAATGCTCTTCTCAGACATTCCTTCTCAGCAAAATGCACGGATTGTAGTGTTTGTCAAAGCTGAAGTGGCCTCTTCTCCGTAAATTGTCCCTCTTCCATTGGAATCAGAGTGTTTAAAACCCCCCACTGTCCCCCATGCAAACTTCTTCAGAGGCTACTTGCAGTCATGACACATGAGTGTGAGTTGGCATGTGCCTGGCAATGCCTGGGTGGGAACGTGTGTGCGCAAATGCGTGAGGGCGAGAGTGAATGGGGTTTGGGGACTTCTTGCAAACAGTGGAACAGCCCACTGTTACCATGCAGCCCAAAACATGCTTTGCCAGAACCTATTTGTCCCTCGGACTGAACAAGTTTCCCCATCCCTGTTCTAGCAAAACAAAAGAACAGGATCTCATCTAGATTATTGATAGGGAGTTCATCTGGGCACCGAGTGATACCTTGAGAGAGCGCACAAACTCATTTTCCATGATGGTATTGCCCTGCTGCAACTCTGCTGAATTCTCACTGTTCTTATTGATCAATAAATGTAGCTTCACCAAATCATTTGCCATATTCTTCATGTGACGCTCAATGTCCTTCAGCTCATTTTTCTCCTGTTGGATTTCATCTGCAGAGGCACAGTCAACCAGTTACTACGCTCTCAAATAGAAGCTGTGGAATCCTAGCCCATTGGTGTAAATGGAGAGCACAGGGGTATAATGGGCAGAGCAAACAGAACCCTGAGCTAGCCGCATTCTGCTGACATTGCTAAGTCTATGCTGGAGCGAAAGGTATTTTATATCAGTGCTTGGAAAGTACCCTTTGCCCTTTTCTCACGATGTCTGGTGAACTGCTGGTTTAATGTGGCCAGCGGCAGGGTCACAAAAGCCTATCAATGTATGCATTCTTCTTTTGAGAGCTGTATAATGATGACAGAGTTTCTTTAGCATTGCAATCGATTCTCTCTGTAATATCTAGAGCCATGGAGACATTCATCATGCCCTTAATCCACTTGGAGAGAAAAAAGGCAAAAATCCTTTAAGCAGTGTCCTATAGTGCAGAAAGAAAATCTGAATTTGGTAAGAAGGGAAGCAAGTTTCTGCATTCACAGGAATATCTTCAGGCTCCAGAGGATATGATACTTTGCTTTGAAATAGGCGTTTTTCATGATTCACCTAACAGTAAGCAGTAAATATACAGCCCAGTACAGTAGCATTTTATGTGTTCTGAGTAAATAATTGGCAACTCATATATCACATCCAGCCCTCCCAGAGAAACACACAATTGCCAAGGGCAGTTACAGTTCATCCAAATTATTATTTCCCATTTGAAAATGTTTGAAAAGATCTTTGCTGGAAGATCCTATCACTGTGCCAATGGAAGGAGAACAATGTGCTTTTACTTTCCCTCCTGTTAGTTCTGATTCCAGCAATCAGTGGCTGATTGACACTCACTAATGCAATTTCACCCCTTGTTCACTATGCTCATAAGCAGACCCAAAACCCATCCAGTCAAAGTTGTGAGGATAAATCTTATTAATACTTTCCCAGGAGAATCACACTTACTCTCTGTGCGCATTTTCTTTTGTTCCTTGATTGTGATCTCTTTCTTTACCATATCCAAGGAAAGAAGCTGCTCTTCTCGCTCCTGTGTAAGTTTCACTAACTCCCTCTGCTGTTTCAACCATTCTCTCTGTAGCTTCACCACCTCCAAGTCAGTTTCGTCTATGTGCTTTCCAAGTTTCCTGATTTCAATTTCCAAGGGCCCCAGTTCTTGTCCCTAGAATCAGGATCATATGAATACTTTCATTTTACCTGAAATATACTAGTTTTGCATGGCTAGTTGGTTTAAACGCAATGTGAAATTGTTGGACGCACATGTTTAGGTGACTCACGCTTCTAATCTTTTTTAGACCATACCTGGTCGGAGGATGAAGCTGAAACAATATCAGGGAGTTTCAGAATGTTGTACTGAAAAACACATATGAGTATTTTACCATTTGGTAGAATAAATCATCCTAACCAATCCTGAATCAATGTATTTATTTTATTCCAGATGTGATTTTAGTTGTTTTTGAAATAGCAGTGAATAAGGAGCAAAGCTAGTGGGTAGGGGCACTGAAATCACTAGGAATGCAGACTGTACAGGTATTTAATGGAGGCATCAAACAGACTCTGTGGGAACACATCCATGGCTTCTGGTCGTTCAACAGACAGAGAGCAATAGCCAAGTTCCACATATGCATAGATTTCTCATGTTTTATTATGAACTGATATGCTTAGTAAAAGTATGTTTACTTCCTTGTAAGAGGAGAGAAGTGCCACATATGCACTGGATTTGTTGGATTGCACTTCCTGAGGATCATGGTTATATTATCTGGCAAACAGGAGAGATATTCATCTGAACGCCCTTTAAAGCCATCTCTACATCTTATGGAAGTGAATTCCAAAGTTTATGTGCTTTCTGAAGAAGTATATAAATGGAAACAAATGTTCTCAGGAATTTGGAAAAACTAGACGAACAGGAAACAAAAAAGTTAATGCAGTGCTCCATGACCCCAATTGTATGGTTTTCTGGTCAGCCTGTTAGCTGTGAGGCTGATGTCATGTACAAAAGGATCATAAACAATGCAAAGGACTTATGCAGGATTATCAACATCTCATCATTATTTTCACCCACATTATTAGCAAGTAGTCTAATACAGATAAAATTAATTATCCCACAGACATTATGATATGACCATCACTTAATTCTAGTCCATTATAAAGTAGCAGCACACGTCTAACAAAAACAAGGATGATGTGGCATAAGGCAACCACTTCATACACTTAAACATCTGGGGTACTTCTGACATTTTAAGTTTTTCATTGTTTTTGTTCTATAGCTATGGAAATTCTTCATATAAAATTGTTGTTGTTTTTGTTAACATTTTTATGCTGCCCATAGCTAAAGCTGTCCGTAAACTGCAAATTTATGGAGTAAATAAAGAGGACAACTTCTTGTTAAAGTCCTATCCCACCATGAAACTCATTTGGTAAGTTACTACCCACAGAGTTATTGCAAGAGCAACAAAAAAGAATAATGAAAGAAAGGGTGGAGACCATGTATGTGACCTTGAGCAACTGAGAGAAAAGGCAGGAGATGTATGTAAATGAACATAGTAATAATTTTTAAAACACAAAGGTCATGATCCAGAGAACCACATATCCACCTCCATACTTTGAATGGGCTTTTCTTGACAGAAGCCTGCTGTGCCATATTGTAAACTGATTTTGAATCACAGACATTTCTCAGATGCAATCTGTGATATGGGACCTAGTTTTAAAATCCCCTTGGGCAGGGCATTTTTTGTCATAGAATGCACCAGAATGGCGTTCCGGCACTTTTTTTTCCAATGGATTTTACGAAGTGATTTTGAATCATAGCAGATCAGCAGCAAGCATCATTCACATAGTGCCTGCAGGCTGCTTTTGTGTCTGCTATCTGTGAGATAGTGAGGGCGCTTGCGGGATTGGTGTGTGTGGTCGTGCACTTACTGCCTGCGATGTGAGTTTCAGCGCCTTTTTTTTTTTACAAAAAAACCCACCGTCCTTGGGCAACTACAATCATAAAATAGTGCTTTGGATCTCAGCCAAAGCACACTGTGGACTTCATGGAGAAAAACTGGTTTGCTGTAGTGTGAGCATTTACATGCAACATCTTTAACAGATGCAAGGTGTGGATCAGAATACTGTGTGTGCAGGATTAATAATTAAATTAAATTAATTAAATTATATTGTAATTCGTTTTATATTTTTAACGTATTATATTTTAATGTTTTGTGAGCCGCCCCGAGGCTTCAGCGAATGGGGCGGCATAGAAATTTTCTAAATAAATAAATAAACGTATGCATTCAGACGAACCCATGCATGGTTTTTGGAAGGTAGAGGAATGAGAGGGTTTGAAAAGTGAAAACACTGAGAAGCTGGAGTGACTGCATATTATGACCAGTAGATTGGATTGATAAATGTCTCTGGAATAGGCTGCACTACTAACTAAGAGGCAGCCCTTCAAAATCCTGTCTGCATTAGAGATTCTGGCTGAGATTCAAAGATGCAAGCACAACAGGTCCACGGGTGCACTGGTGTTTTAGTAGCTGACCATTTCTCTTCAGGAACTCTTAATAAATCCCAAACCACTTTTAAATACCTCTTACATCATAGCAAGCAGGCTGTGGTTTAGCGTAAAAAGTGGCTGAAGATGTTATAGCCTAATAAACCTTGACTGAATGGCAGCCAGCATTTTAAGTACTGATGCCACAAATGAGGTGGCAGATTCCAGGGAGGCTATGAGTCAAAAGACTCAAATTTCAAACTGTTAAAGTAAAAAAGGAACATACCCCCAGCTGAGAAATAATTATTTCCATTTTTTTGTTGTACAGGTTAATGATCCCCTGTTTGCGCCCAATTATGAGGTTATGCTTGGCAATCTCAGTCTCACTATGACTGATCTGATTGTTTAGATTGTCCATCTCTTTGTCCAGTTCCGAGAGGGTCTTCTGGAGCATATTTAGTTTGCAGTTGGTGTTTGTTATATCCAGTGAAGTTTGGGCTGTCTCATTCTCAACTCTGGTGAGCTGTATCTCCTAGGAATAACAAGAAAAGAGGGGCAGGGAACAAATTGCTTACCAATATTCAATTGTTCAATTATTCAATGGCAAATGTTATTGTAAACAATTAGCTGATCCTAAAATTGGAAGCCCTGGCTAAGGTCAGCTTACTCTAAAGTAAGTTGATGTGTTGCTCACAGATTCAGGACAGGCTTAGTCCCTAGCAGAAATCAAGCTTTGGGTACCATCCTCTCCTGTTGTCAGATGAGTTAAGGTATTTGTGCAAGTATCTGACTACCACTCTTTATCAGTGACCTGGAGGAAGGGGTAACCATTCTGCTGACCAGATTCACAGACAATCCCATAGTGTGGGGGGGGGGGGTGACCATGACTGGGGAGCAAGTACTTCAGATCCAAAAGGAGCTGGACAGACTGTGGAAGTGGGCAGGGGACAACAGGATGGCGTTCAATGTGGATAAGTGCAAGGTCCTGCACTTGGGACTCAGGAATAGGTTCCATAGGTACAGGATGGGGGACAAATGGCTGGAGAGCAGCACTTATGAAAGCGATCTTGAGGTACTTGTTGATAGTAGGAGCCTGCAGTGTGACATGGTGGTTAAGAAAATGAATGCCACCCTTGGATGTATAGCGAGAAGCATGGCTTTCAGATTGAGAGAGGTGTTAGTGCCACTCTATAAGGATCTGGTACACCCACAACTGGAGTACTGCATCCAGTTCTGGTCTCCACATTATAGGAGAGGCATAGCTAGGTTAGAATCAGTACAGTGCAGGGTCAAAAGGAGGGTAACCAGATTTTTTTTGAGTGGGAGGGGAATGCCATATGAAATGAGATTGAGGGAACTGGGTCATTTCAGCCTGGAGAAGAGGAGACACAGAGGGGAACTTAGACCAACATATAGGTATGTGAAGGGGTGTCACACAGTAGAGGGTCGTGGCCTGTTCTCCCCTGTGGTGGAGGAAAGGAGGTGGTCCAAGGAACCAGCTTTCAGATTGGTTATCAGGAAGTACTTCCTGAGGATTAGAATCCTTAGGATATGGAATGGGCTTCCAAGGGAGGTTGTTGAGGCCCCAGCAGTGGGGGTGTTCAAGGATAGATTGGGGAACTGCATGTTGGGTTTTGCATGAATGGAGGCAACTGGAACCAGCTCAGACTAGATGGCCAGGGAGACCCCTTATGACTCACTGTGTTTCTCTGTTTCTGTACCAACTCACTAATGTTCCATCAGGCTTTGACAGATAGTGGACCTTGCCTTATGTACAGTATGCTCTCTGGTTTGTTTTTTTGGGGGCATACATGCAGAAGGGAAACTTTATCATAGTCCTGGGTCATCATAGGGCAGCTGAAACAAGGGACTTAGAGGTAACCCTTGCCCTGCACATTTCTTCATAGAGCCCTGCATTTGAAAGGCTGGGGGTGAAGATCTTGATAACACTAGCCCCTTTAGTTTTTGCTAAGTCCCAGCTGTAAGGTCTAAGGGAAACTCCAGTGTTTGGTAAAGTTCCTTTCCTCATGGAGAAATTATAGAGCTGCATTTCTCTTTGCAGTTATCAAAATACCAATTGTTACTTAAAATGCAAGGAAGGAAAATACTAGTCAAGCAACTATGGTAAGTGCAACTCAAATAAAGGAAAGCAAGAGCACTGAGAGATGAACACCACCCCTCCTATTCTATCTTCTAATGAATTTCTATGGTAAGTCACTTGAGAGTCACTCTAGGATTGTTAACAAACAAACATGCCAAGTTATTAACTCAGAAGGATCACTGGCCTGACTCAGCACTGCGATATCAGCCCATAGTGAGGAATGAGACCTGAATCTGCTTTATATTGGATTGTGGGTCACTGTTGGACTATATCCAAACCTTCAAGTATTGATGCTTGTTTTCTTTAACTGGTCCTTCCTCTCGATTTGCTATCCTTTATAAAACAACAGGAAAAAGGAAAGACAATGTCTGCAACAGAGAAAGGATTCTTGACTTTGAGCAGTTCTGATTCTGCTTCCCTCTCATCATAAAGTCTCTGCTTATATTGCTTTTCTGAATCTTAATTGTCCCAGTTTTATCTTACACTTGTCTATCCAACTCTGCCTGAGTTCCTAGGATTTGATCTGAACCTGGTTTAACCTCTCTAATAAAGTGATTGCAATATAACTTGGCATTCCTGGATTTTGGTATCTTACAAAGTTTCACTCATGCTTGTTTTATGATTTTAAGGTGGCTTTGGAATCCTAATTACCAAGGGCAGGCTGGAGCCATGCCTGGTTGAATCCAGTTCTAGATACAACAGTGCTTTCCAGTTCAAGATCCTAGAGAACAGATGCTAGAGCAGAGAGCTTGTACTGGTGCCTGAAGTGCAACTCTCTAAATTAGGTAGAAGCAGAAGGCCAAGCTCCTAGTATTAATATCAGACTTCACAAGCAGTGTGAATATGCCTTTTTATCCTTCTTTGGTGATGAAATAGAAGCAGTTCTTCAGTCTGAAAACCATGTGAATATACAAAAGGTCCATGTATTGTTGATGTAACTTGGTACCTATTAGTCCCATGGGTTGACTAAATGGTATACATACGAAACTCGTCAATGTGTTTTGAAGCTTAGCAGCTAGCTGCATATAGTATTTTGCTGCTTTGTTAGATATCAGCTGATTTTGAAGCTTAGCCATGATCTCATTCTCCAGGTCCTGCTTGGTTTGTGATCCTCTCTCTAGCTCTCTGCGAAGAATCACCAACTCATTCATGCGAGCAGCTCGATCCTGTTAAGAGAAGATATGGGGCTGTTAGCAAGTCTGTATGGTTGGCAACAGAGCAGAGGTGAGGCAAACAAGTAGCAAGTTCTCACCATATTAGCCCGATTGAGGGCTTCCTCTGTTTCATGAAGGGTACGAGTGTAGGTGCCAAATTCCACTTTCATGGCATCCTGTTTAGACAAGCTCTGGGTTATCAGCTTTCTGGTGGTGTTCGCATCATTCTCTGAGCGATTCAGGATAGTAGCCAACAGCTCATTTCTCTCCTCCTCCTTGATGATGGACTTCTTGTAGACTTCAATCTCGACCTCTAAAGACTTGAGCTTGTGCCTGGATTCTCTGCAGGAACAGAAGACGACATATGCAGGGCAAGAGTTGCCTCAAAGTCTTTGCTTCCAAACAAACTCTTATAACAACGGAGAATCACATTCAGCACCAAGGCCATCTGCCTTCTGTGCCTATCCATAAGGGTCTCAAGATCCCTAGGTTTAGTTTTGGTTTTTTGCAGGATAGGCATGCAGGCGTTACTTCTTTGTTGCTTGCAGTACGGGACTATATACAGAGACGAAAGGCGTTAAGTACATCAAGGCCAACTGCTGCTACATGCAGAAAATCCAGACTAGAGCAGCTACAACAGGTCCCTGTGCAGTCTCTGCTTGATGACCCCCAGCAGAAGAACAGCCCATCACCTTTCTAAGAAATTGGTGCTTTCAACAGGTCTCAGCTATCAGAAACAAACAAACAACAAAACACTACTGTTCTGTAACGCAAGCCCAACAGATCTACTTCTGCCTTCCAACTTAACACAAAACAAGCCTCTTCAATATAACAGGTATTTTAAGACTGATATCAATTTCCTTACACCTCATTGATCTTCTCTTCTTCAGGTTAAACATATCCAGTTTCTTTAATTTATCCTATACGACTTGTTTCTCATACTCGTCCCCTGTCAAAGCCGTTCCAGTTTGTCTATATCTTTTGAAAGAACTGGACACAATACTACAGATTAGGTCTGACTAGAGCAGACCTAGAGCAGCACTATCATTCCTGTGGTTTAGAACTATTTTACTGCTGGGTAAATCTATTGCCCCAAAGGTAGTGCTATCATTAACATGATTACCACCATGTGGAAGGCAGCTGCAAAACTGTCATGTACACAGGCCTTCTCTTCAAACTCCTCATAGTATACAAACCCTGAAGCCATTTAGATACAGAAGCTGCAAGACTGCAGTCATACTTGTGAGAAACAGATGTCTTACATCCTATTTATTTTAATTCATCATCAGTGCACTTCCTAAAGCAACCAGAAATGAGCCAAAACACTCTTTTCAGGAAGGGAAAAGGTCAGTACAGCTCACAAAATGGTGTTCCACAGATTTGTGCCATTCCAGAAATGAGTGTTTGGGGTAATTTTCAAGATTGCTCCAGAAAGTTGCTTTGGTCCACTGAATTAAGGTTAGCTGTTCTTTCTTTACTGAACCCTTGGAAAATATCACTCAGCTATCAGAAACTCGTATTTTCATTCTTGCTTTGTTTTATCAGATATCCGTGTTTTCTTTGTTGTAGGCATTGTTTTTATAACCCCAAATCACTTCTCTATATAAGCACTGTTTCTGTCCCTCTGTGTCCTCCCCTCTTTGCAGGCTGAGACTCCCATCTCTGGGATTGCCCTTTCCACACAGCAATGGGATTCGAAAAAACTGGCTCTTGTTGCTGTGAGGAGGTGTGAGAGCGAGAATCTTCCTGTGTGTGAAGGAATGATCCTTCAGTGAAAGAATGCTCATGGAAAGAACGCATGTGCAGGTGGAAATGGGCAGCCACTTTGGCTACCATACACCCAGCTTAGCCACCAGAAAATGTGGCCCTTGGGCAGAAAAAGCATCCCTGTCCCTGCTTTTTAGGAATCGCTCCTTCACCAGCAACCCAGATTAAGAAGAAAATGTGTGAAACAGTTTGGAAAGAAGTGATTTGTGTGACTGGAGAAGCCCTCAACAAAAGATATAATATTGGTTTGGGACTTAGAGTATGAGTATCAGAGGGTGAGAGAGACAAGGGCAGTTTATTAGCTTGGCATGTCTGGTGGATGCAATTTGAAGGACAATTCCTTATGGGCACTCTGTTCTCACCAATGCTTTTCACTTGCTGACAACCTGTTGATATGTTTTCTGTGCCTCATTGTCCCCAAAGGAGAAAGGAAAAAATCGCAGCCAAAGCATCTCTGTTTATGCAGCGCAGTTACCTCAGCGCTTCCTGCATGGCAGCATACGCCTCATCACGGCGTTTCATCCCAGTCAAGCTGACAGTCCATTGATGCAGAAGCTGCTTTTTCTCCAGGTGAATTGCTTGTATTTCCGTACTTGCCTGAAAACATAGTATGGTGAAATAGTACAACATTGCATGGTGTAACAGGAATCAAGTTCTCTCTACATCATTCACCACCACCTCCTTTTTTTGCACAGTCCCATATTAATATTTTGAATTCTAATCTTCGACTCACACCTCCTTGGTCCTGTTCATTTTTATATTTCAGGGGAACTTGAAATGAAAGCATATCCAAAAGGAGAGAGTCAGTTATACAGAAGCAACAGCAGTTTGTATGAAAAAGCCAGAGGTATGGAAAGGGTCTGCAATCCTAAAGCACAGTACATGTAAGAGGCCGTGTGGAAATTACAAGTTGCACATGAACAGCTGGTGGTGAACATTTTAAGCACCTCTGCTCTCCTGCTCTGTTACTCTGCCCCTCAAAATCGCTTTTCCCCAAAACTGCTTTTCAATTTTAACAAATGACGCTCTTGTTGATTATTTATTTATTATAATTATGTATGTGGCTGGATGGAGTGACTGAAGCTGTCGGCATGAGCTTAAGTGGACTCCGGGGGATGGTGGAGGACAGGAAGGCCTGGAGGAGTGTTGTCCATGGGGTCGCGATGGGTCGGGTGCGACTTTGCGACTAGCAACAACATAAGTGTGTATATGCCATCAGGATACAAATCCTGGCAAGGCAGTTTACAAGTAACATGAAATGCACTGTAATATGTGGTTTGCCTGTGCAATATTTTGTCAGTGTGTGCGCGCACAAATACATGTGCATGGATAGATGTATATCTTATATACATATACATACATACACACACATTTTGAACTTTTGAAAGACTGGGCATAACTGCATTAAGTGCAGACAGAGGACAATTCTATGATGCAATTTGGACAATTGCTCTAGATGAGGATCATTGTCACTGACCTGGGGCAAACAATATAATCCCATATATATCTCCTCAGAAGTAAGCCCTGTTGTGTTCAATGGGACTATTTTCATTTATTTATTTATTTAAAAATTTCTATGCCGCCCCATTCGCCAAAGCCTCGGGGCGGCTTACAAAACAACAGTTAAAATATAAAACACTAAAAATATAAAACACATTAACATTATAAAATAAGTCACCCTGGCCGAAGAATTAAGCAAATAATATTAGCAATTAAAATGACGTTTGAATAAAAAGGTCTTCGCCTGGCGCTGAAAAACAAATAACGACGGCACCAGGAGGACCTCTCTGGGGAGCGCATTCCATAGATTGGGCGCCACCGCAGAGAAAGCTCTCCTCTGAGTACCTACCCTCCTAATTTCCTTCACGGAGGGTTCCCAGAGAAGGGCCTCTCCCGCAGATCTCAGGGGGCGGGCGGGCGTATATAGACGTAAGTGTTCCATCAGGAAGCCAGGACCCAAGCCGTTTAGGGCTTTATAGGTCATCACCAACACCTTGAATTGGGCCCGGACTTCAATGGGAAGCCAGTGAAGCTGACGGAGGACTGGAGTCATGTGAACATAACGCCCAGTCCCCATCAGCAACCTGGCAGCTCTATTTTGAACCAATTGAAGTATCCGGACTGTCTTCAGGGGTAGTCCCATGTAGAGCATGTTACAGAAGTCAAGGCGGGAAGTCACCAGCGCATGTGTCACTGTCGCCAGACAGTCGTACTCCAGGTAGGGGCGCAGCTGATGGAACAGCCAAAGATGAAGGAAAGCGCTCCTCGCCACTGCTGTCACCTGAGCTTCCAATGAAAGCTCCGGGTCGAGGAGCACTCCCAGGCTGCGGACCTTGTCCCTAACAGGGAGTGCAACCCCGTTCAGGACAAGGTTCAATTCACCCTCTCCAAAGCCCGATCCGCCAACCAACAGGACCTCTGTCTTGTCTGGACTGAGCTTCAATTTATTGGCCCTCATCCAGCGCATTACCTCGGCCAGGCACCGGTTCAGCACAGCCACTGCCTCACCTGGATTGGTGGAAAACGAGAGGTAGAGCTGGGTATCCTCAGCGTACTGATGATTCCGCAGCCCACACCTCCTGATGACCTCTCCCAGTGGTTTCATGTAGATGTTAAAGAGCAAAGGGGACAAAATGGACCCCTGCGGTACTCCATGGCATAGCTGCCATGGCGCAGAGCCATAGTCTCCCAGCACCACCTTCTGGAATCTGTTATTGAGGTAGGAGCAGAACCACTGCAAAGCAGTGCCTCCGACACCCAATCCTGCTAGCCTATCCAGAAGGATACCATGGTCGATGGTATCGAAAGAACCTAACTCCCAAGTAATATATACGTATGTATAGAAATACTGCCTCAAATAGCTTTATGTCTCTCCAAGGTAAATACATAATAAAATAAAAAAGCACATCTAGGAAATGTTCAAACTATTAAAATGTATCTATATATTAAGATAGTTATTTTACCCATGCAATGTATGCATAACCTTCTGGGATAGCAGTGGCAAACTTCCTCTTCTCTGAAAAGATGCTGGCTGCATGAAGAAATGGGATTGCACCTTACCTCTCCTACTTCTTGTCGAATGATTCTGGTGTCTTCCCCCTGGGCCATGTGCTGAGCTTCATAGAGTGCAATCTGCTCCTGCAGTTCGTTGGCCCTCCGAGTTAAGCGGTCAACATGAAGGTCCTGTGAAAGGTGACAACGCTAAGAGATAGTACAGGTCCACTCTGTGCATTCACCCTGCATGTCAACAAAACCCGAGAATAAAGAAGCAGCTGTTCGAAACTGGGCTCCCTCTGTGCTCTCTGTGGACTTAGGGTAGGATCCAAACCACTGCAGTCAGCATCCTCCTTTTTGTAGCTCTTCGTTCAGTTTTCATTTTTTATACAAATAGGCAAGCTTTACAAGTAAAAGGTTTGTTTTCAAATGCTCCACAAACGCTGCTGGTATCAGTGGTCACAACAGAACCATGTGGTTCAGCAGAGTCTAGCGAAATTCATAAATTTTAACCACTTCTACCTGATTTTTACATTTTCCTTTTTATTTTTTAGTTATTCTTAATGTTCACTACATGGGAGGTTATTCATTCAAAAATATTTCAACAGAATATATCTTAAAAGTGCATTGCAGAGGCCTCACCCATTGGCTTCAGCATGGGTAGAGCAGCCCTAATAGCGTCTGATGGGGTGAAAGTGCCCTTTTGTTGGCAGAGAGGAGCTCTGACCACGTGGCAGCATTGGAGGTGCCTTCTAAACCTGTGGAAAACTCAGCAGATGTCAAGTTACCACTGGCAATGCTCCTCTCAGTACTGTTCCTGGCCTCCATTTGAGGGGAATATTGGGCTGGCCTTGCAACCGCTGAATTCAGAGTCCCTTCATTTCCCTGAAGCAGCCTGGATGAGGCTGCCAACCCAGGTCTGTCTTGACTAATGTAGCATTTTCCTCCTACTGAAACCTGAGGGATGGAAAATGTAGCACTCCAGAACTGTCAGGACAAAGAAGCCTTCCTGCCTTAGGTGTGAAAAGCTGGCAGGGGTTCTGAAGTGGCAATATGTCTGCCATTTAACTCTGTGTTCCACTTAAAATTTTTCCATGAAAGGTTTTAGGAGCCAAATTAGGCATGAATGTGGAACTCTTATCTGTTTGACTCAGGCAAATGGAAGCATAAATCATAATGTGAAAATTTGCACATACAGAGGATGAACTGGTACAGGCCTGATGTGACAGAATGGACTGTACCACTTCAGAAAGTGTGTGTGTGTGTGTGTGTGTGTGTGTTTCTGTGTGTGGTAGTGCAAGGTGGCCATATTTCTAAATGCTTTCCTTTATAAATGAAAAGTCCTGAAAGTACAGAAACTTAGAAGAATAGAAACAGAGCGCGTCAGAAGGGGTCTCCCAGGCCATCTAGTCTGACCCCTGGATCCAGCCAGCTCCACTCATGAATGCGTATCATGGAAAGGAATGGGCTAGAATTTTTGAGAACTAGAACAGTTTGGCAGCTACAGTATTGAACTAGGACTCAGGAAATGTGGATTCAAGTCCTAACTTGACCATGAAAGCTCACTGGATAACTTTGGGGCAGTCACTGGCTCTCAGCCTAATGTATCGCACAGAGTTGCAGAGAGGATAAAATGGAAAGGAAGCCAACTAGGGTTTTTTGCAGGTAAAAAGATGGAACATAAATTTAAAAAACAAACTTTTCTCCCAAGTGCACTAATTTTCTATTTTCAGGGAAGTTTTTACAGTAAGAGTATTCAGAAACAATATTCCAGTACTTTCTCCCACCTCAGGATTCTATCACTTTGTTCTGCTGCATGTATTGATACCACCAAAGTGCCAAAGCACAAGTCTGTCCTGCCCCTCCTTATTCTCAAAAAGTATACCCAGATTACAAAATCTCTTAGTAACTGATTGGGAAGTAGAGAAGACAATCAACTAGCAACAAAACTGCAGATGAAATGAGGTGTAGATGGTTCAATAAAGCCGCTAAGAAGCAAATCTTTCTGTGGAGAGGAAAGTGAACTGACAAGTAGTGATAGAAAACTGTCCCAGGATTAGGGAGCATCATGGCAGATGAGACAAAGGGGCCAATGTGAAGTGAGTTTTGGCAGGTTACAGGGCACAAAAAGAGATGTTTGTAGGCAGCAGGAAAGAAGTGGTGGGGAAAAAATCATACACAACCCCAAAAACATCCACAGTTGCCAGGTACCTGTTTTTGCTTTTCCACCTCTGCACGCATCCTCTCCACTTCAGCCTTCTTCACCGTTCTCTTCATCACAGCAATATCATCACGAACATCTTGGTCCATATTCTGCATGTAGAACAGACGCAGTGACAGACTTTCCATCTCGGTCTGCATGGAGGCCACTAAGAAAACCAGCAGGAAAACAATTTTTTTCTCCAGATTGTGCCAAAACCACCACTTAAGGTATAAATGTATGGGGAAAGCAACAAGCCATGCATACCAGATGGATTTCTCTAAAGTGAAAGGATATCAGTCCCTAAATTCTAGCATGAAAGTAGCAGCTGTCCAGAAGAATGAAGTATGTAAGATAGCATCATCAAAGAGAAGTAAGATATTTTATTTATTTATTTATTTATTTATTTATTTATTTTTCAATTTATATCCTGCCTTTTTCCTACAAAGGGCTCAAGGCAGCTTACGTCATCTCTCCTCCTCCATCTTATCCCCACAACAACAACCCTGTGAGGTAGGTTGGGCTGAGAGTCTGTGACTGGCCCAAAGTCACCCAGTTGGCTCCATGGCTGAGCGGGGACTAGAACCCGGATTGTCTGAGTCCCAGTCCCCTGCTCTTACCCACTACATGCATATAGGTTTGCATTACCAATGAAGCAACTTCCTGTTGCAGCTGGTTGCACAGATAAACTCTGACCAGTTACTTCACACTGTCTCACTAGCAAAAGACCTGCATTTCTACCAGTACTTCAACTACTTATTGGTACATTCACAAAGCTCCTGTGAGCAGATTTGGGTGGCACACACCTTAGCTTGTTTTCCCGTAACACAAGGGAAAATCAGCTGTTCTTGGTTGCCTTATGGAATTGAGGAAGCAAATCCAGCAGCAGAAGTGGTGATGGAGCCCTAAAATAAAATCAGGGAGGCCACATATGGTGCATCAGACACATGTTGCCCACCCCATTACAACAGATACTTCAGTCAACAGACTATCCTGAAATACTTGAGCAGAAGTTGCAAAGCAGACATGCAAGACATTGACATCCACAATGGGAAAAGGACAAGGAATAGCCTAGCTGTAAAGGACCCAGTCACCTCTTTTGCGTTCCTCCTCAGCACTCTGGCAAGTCTTTTTGTATGTGCTCCTCAGGTCGTGCAGCTCTTCCTCCAGCTGCCGGCGTGCCATGGCAATCTGAGAGTGGCAACTGTGGTTCTTCTCCAGTTCCATTTGCAGCCGGGCCAATTGTTGCTGGACCCCATAGAGGATCACACCAAGTTCCTCCCTCTGCAACTTTCTATTCTTTGTGCCCACAGCCTGCAGTCATGAAAGAAAGGAAGTCAGTTTGCATACTCTGATATGAAGGAATGAGAACCGTGAGAATTGCCAAGGAAAGTTACTGTACCAGCTCTAGGAGTTCGTCATTCAGCTTTGCTATCTGCTTATTGAGGTAAGTCTTTAAAGCAGCTTGAAATCTTTTCATCAAGGGCTACAGAAAGAAACAAGAACTTATTAAGACCATCATATCACTTGAGTAAACATCTGTACTTCAACAGCTGCTACAATTTTCACTCTGGATACTGTGAGCAAATGAGAAAGTCCATTAGTGTGGAATGTGGGGAAAGCTTGTTTGAATAATAAAATCAAGTGTTTTCTACAGTATTTAAATCTCAACAGCTATTATTTCAGAATCCAGGCCAGATCTAAACTGGCAGAACTATGAAATGCTATCTTAGCTAGAAAAGTAGGTGTAATGTTGTTACAATATACAACATTAATTTATCACTGTGTGAGCAAATCTGCTTAGAGAAGTTGGTTGATTTTTTTATTTAAATCAATTTATATTTTTCTCATATCTAAAAATATCTATGTGGCTTACAAACTCATAAATTAAAAATCATCATTGTAAATACAAAAATGTATGTTAAAATATTTGAATGCAATCTTATGCATGTCTAGACAAACAGAAGTCCTACAACTCCCAACATTTTTCTGTCTAAATATGCATTGGATTGTGCCTAACATATTTAAAACCAAAATTAATAGTTTAATTGTGACTGGGTTTGCATGACTACTGTGGTATATCATACCTCTATTAAGTCATGAAGAGATGCAGCTTAAGAAGATCCATCCTAAATGTTCAAGCTGCAGCTGTTGCTTGAACCCAGGGATCATGGATTATGTGAAGATTAACTCTTGTATAACCCTGAAACAGGCCATGTGTTCTACAACAGTTGCTGCTGAACAACAGCTGAGACAATGTTGTGGTCTAGAGTCAAAATTGCCACCCACTGTGCCCAAAAAATAAGCAAGGAAGAGCTGTTTGATTGTGCAAACTGGCTCAAAGTAATTTTCCTCCCTTTGTGAAATCACAGCAGGACCATGGGTTATCTTTCAAAGTGAAATGTTTCCAACCTGAATAGTATTTTTAACCTAAAAAGCTGCTATTGCTTATTGAGAAAATATGACAGCCAACCTACATTAAATTCTACCTTAACATACAGCTGACCTGGTGGCACAGTTTGCCTGCCTGTTTGTATCCATTTAGCAACACCCCTGCTGTCTTCAGTTCTGGGCTTTCCTTACATGTTCTGGGTCCAACACAACCAGCTGGGCTGCCTCCTCTGCCTCTTCACCACCAAGGTCTCCCTCAGTAAGCTGCAACATGTGCTCCTCGTTCGGCTGTACCATGTTTTCAAGGCTACTGAGTTGCAAAGACAAAGGCTGAAGAGCAGAGTCAGTGTAGGGAGGAGAGATGACTGGCCTAGAGATAACTCTTTCTGCAGGAGAGATGGATGGCATCAGAGAAACCAAGTTCAAGGTCAGTGAACTTACAGAAAAAATGTGTCTAAGGGATGTTACTTCCTATAACAACAATAAGATCAAGTAAACATTACAATATCACATGAAATACACATTATATTAAAACAGAAGGAAACTAAGAAAAGGCAGCTGACACCAAACACCTAAAGGCATGTCTTCATTCCCATGTTGGTATCAAGCCAAGTGGTTTCTGTTCCCCATCTTATTTCTTAACAGCAAACTTTGGAGAAAAGGAGAGGGAGTCAGCTGTGAATCCCCACAACTGGTAAGGAGTGCTTGCTTCTAAGATCCCAAAGTGTAGGCTGCTGTAGCTCCTTGGAATGCAGACAAACTGGCACCAGCAGTGAGGACGTCTTTTTTCTTCTGCTGTTAATTTTGATCTTGCTTTTGTATTATTAGATGGTTATGGACTAACTAAATGTGAACTGATTAGTGAATTATGTAATTTCATTTTAGCAATAAAATGATGCTATAAATTTATTAAATCGGTGCCTTCAATTGAGTGTGTAGGTATACAGTGGTACCTTGGCTCACAAACTTCATCCGTTCCAGGACTCTGGTCGTGATCCAAATTGGTTGTGAGCCAAGTCAAATTTCCCCATAAGGTTCAATGTAAATAAGGTTAATCCGTTCCGCAACTATTTTTTTAACTCACAAAAACTTGAAGCAAAGTGACAAAGAACAACAAAGATCGCGACCATCTTCCACCCCCACCCAGAGATTGTGCGGGGGGGTGGGGGAGACAGGCGCGATCATGGGCGTGCTGGGGGGGAGGCGAGTGTGGGTGCAGGCATGCTGTGGGGGAGGTGGTTGTGGGCATAGGCGCAGGCACACTCTGGCAGGAAACACGGGTGCAATCGCGGCCATCTCCCCCCCAGCACGAACATGGCCATCTCTGCCCCCACAGCACGACCGTGATCGTGCCCATGCAGGGAAGGTGGGCCCGCTGATGATCGTCACCTGATGCAGAGTTCGCAACTTGTGGCAAAATTTTTATGAAATTTCTGTTCGTGACCCATTTGGTCGTGAACTGAGGCATTTGTGAGCCAAGGTACCACTGTATCTTGAAATTGTTTCAGGTGTCTGCCATTGCATATCTATATTGAATGATGTTTACCATAAGCCCCTTTCAACATGGTTCATCATGGAAAAGCTATAACTTAAGAAGACGAAGATGAAGAAAACTAAATCAAACAACTACTCACTTGATACTGCTTGAATGCACATGACGAAGGATTTTATCCATGTTCTATTTCTTTACCACCATTTGTCTACTATTTTATTTGTCCTTTACTTCTCTTAATGTTCTGCTGTCCTGTTTTGATTACATTGTGTTTCTAAATCTTTATATGCAACATTCTGAGCAGCCTTGCTTGAAAAGTAGCACACTAGTGCTATAAATAAAGTTGTTGCATTCTTTATTTAATCTCAGTTATACAAAGTTCCTAGGTATTTAATTCTCCTCTTCTCAGTGTATTTTTCGTAAAAAATGTCACTGTCATGAACCCTTATTTCTATTTTTTACTTTCCAGATGGACTGCTCCTAGCCCTACATCTAAGAAAGTATTGTCGCTTTATTCTTTAATAGATTTTCCACAAAGAAATAAAATGATGGAAGTAGTGATGAGAGAAAATAGAAGCACTACACATCAAAGTATGATATCTGAACCTTCCTTAAAAGTCTGTGAATGAAGCAAGGTGATGGATTGGCCAAAACACATTCAAGTTACAGGCAATACTGTAATAACAACCAGACAGAAAATTATCATGGAAAGTTAGCATTGGCATCAACCAGAATTTAAATGCAACAAATTTCATCACTCATTGGATTAAGAAACTCCACCAGTGTTCGGGAAAGTCCTCCTAAACTAGCAGTGGTCAATACCTGAAACTCCATGGTGCTCTGCGAGCAATTCAGATCTCTGGCTGCTGGTTTCCGAAGACACAGAAATCGCTGTTTCACTGAACATTCTGGAAGGAGAGTCCTCCAGTTCATTTCCCTCTGAGAAAACAGCAGAGGGCTTTTCCTGGAGGAGGAGGAGGAAGCTACTATCAGAAGAGGACTGCCAAAAGGGATGTTCAATACTAAGGAAGATTGCTGTTATACAATTCAGCTTGAATTTGTCATTGCAAAATATGAAGGAGAATAACTGCTCAGGGACACTGGGAAGCAGATTAAGGAGGGTAACTGGGCTGGAGGGCCTCCAAGGCACTTCTGTGCATACTCTTACTGGAGTTTGTCTTGGAGAGTTTTCATTTTAAAGATACACTATTAGCCCCAGTGTTTCCAAAATAAAGGATGGAGACATGTTACTAATGAAGCCTTGAAAACAAGGAGGGCCTAGCCCTGTGGCAGACTGCATCTGCTGCACTTAGAAGCTGCCACTTCAATCCCTGACATTGCTAGCGATCCAGCCTAGGTGGAGGTGACCAGACCTTTGTCTGAACCTGTACAGAGCTGTTGTCAGTCAGAGCAGACAGTCCTGGACTAGAGGGACCAATAGAAGCACCTTGCATAGGGCAGCTTCCCATGCTCCTGGCAGTGCTGCAAAGAGGAAACAGAGGAGGGAAGCTCTTGCCATTTCTTCTGATTTCAAGCCTTAGAGGCCATTGCTGTGCGTGTGCTTTTGGAATGTGATTTCCTTTCCAGCCTTAAATTTCCAATAGCTCCAAGGCAGAAGAGTTTCATTTGCAGCATTGCTCGGCGTCAAATGGGATGCTGTGGTGGAGGCTGGCCATGCAGCTTTATTGTCATTGCTGAAAGGCATGAATCAGGTTACCAGTTGTTCTCAGGGACGAACTAGATTTATACATGGTCACATAACTACTGTATAAGACCGATATGCTTGCCTATGTCTACCTATCAACTTTCTTTACACTATGTACACTTCTACAATCTCTTGCTTACTTGCCTTTTCCTAAGCTAAACAACCCCAAATGTAGTAACCTTTCTTCACAAGAGAATTGCCCCAGCCTCTTTATAATTTTAGTTGCCCTTTTCTATACTTTTTCCAACTCTACAATATCCATTTAAAGTCATGTGACCAACCATCTATTGCTTGTTGATTACTGACAGGTACTCCTGCTCAATTTGGTTCATTTAAATTAAAATTTTGTACATTTCTTAACATTTATATTTAGCTTGTTTGCCCTTTTGGTAAGATCAGGTAAGACCTCTTTTTGTCCTCGAGTGTGTGCCTATATTGGAGGGAGGGGTCCAGAGAATGGTAATCCATGAACCTGCTCAAACCTTGGGCTTGAATACTTGAAGATCAGAACTATGATTTAACATTTCATCGAAATTGGGTGAATATGTTTTGTGGGAATAAGCTCGTATGGACCACATCCATTGCTACTCACCTGCAAAAAGGACACCTTTTGCTCAAGAACCCCTTGCTCTGCCGTGCTGGGTGCCGAAAGTATCTCTTCCAAGAATGCTGCATGAGTTCTGACTGCCCCTTCCTCCATGGCTACTGGAGAAGCCTGTGCTTTCTCTTCTTCTGTGCTCACCACAGGAGCTTGTCTTGCCCTGTCCTCCACTACTGCTGCAGGAGCCCTTGCTGCCCCTTCCTCTGTGGCTGCCGCAGGAGCCCCTTCTGTCACTTGCTCCAGGAGCTCCGCAGGAGACCTTCCAGCTTCTCCCTCCATGACTGGTGTAGGAGCGCCTTGCTCCACAGCCCCAGCAAGAATTCCTTCATCCCCTTCCTTGGTGGCTGCTGTAGGAGCACCTCCTGTACCATCCTCTATGGCATTAGTATCTTCTGGCTGCAATAAGCAGAATAAATCAAAACATAAACACTAGAAAGGAATATGAAGATAGTCCATGTTTCATACTGAACCAAGCACAGAACTGTATGCCCAAGTTCAGCTAAATATTAATACATAAAGGACACCCTTCATTTAAACTGCATTTATCTTTTTGAGTTGACTGTAAAATTTTGGGAATTCAAAGTTTAAGAAAAGTTATAAATATAAATCAATTTCATCCTCTCTGTTGACATAGTATGGCACTGGAGAAAGACCTTGCATTACCGCTCTTCAACTATGTTCCCACTGGAGAAAATAGGAGTGGGGAAATACTGTGCCGGAGACAACAAACTATTGATGGTGCTTGAATGAAATCAAAGCAACTTGTCTTCCTATCTGAAGGATTCAGTAGACATTATGCTGTTCTTAAATTCTGTTAAGACCACTACCTGAAAATTTACAGGATTGATTTCCTATTGACAAATCATAAATACTTAACTCTGTAACTGTTGCTGCAGCCACTCTATTATCTTGATTTGACTCATTTGTATCTTTCAGCTGTTCAGTTCATTCAATAATATAAATAGAAAAAGAAAAAAATACACATGGAAGAAAATAACTTTCTGAGAGAATAAACATAGTCCAATCTTTTCTTAAAGCCCTATTGTTCTTTATTAATGTCACATCCTCACCACTTACAAGGCACCATATTAAAGTCCCTGTTGGACTATTGTGATATTGCAATTATTGGTGAAAAGTGAAAATTATGCTGAAAGCATCTGTGTGGGTACTGCTGGGCTTTTCAGCCCAGCGGATCATTTTATATCAAGCCTTCCCTGCCCTGTCCCGTCAGAAGCAAGGAAGAGAAATGAGCTGTGTCAGCTCTGAGCTGGCACAGCTAAGGAGGACAGTCTGGGCACTTTTGTGGGTCTGTGATCCACCTCATTCTGCCTTTTCTGTGGCCTAAGACTGACTATTGCTCATGGAACTTTCCTCAGGTAGAAGTGAGCCACTGGTGCAGACAGACTGATCCCTTGCCTCTCCTCCTCACTGAAATCCTATTACTTGCTGGGAGGGCAACTCTGCTCTATCCTAACCTCCTCTCACCTGCCTTGATCTACTCAACAGAGAAAGGTAAATCCTATAAGCTCAGGGCAAAATATAAAACAAATTTTATCCTATAAGCTCAGAGACAGAGAGAGAGAGAGAGAGAGCGTTTTATATCCCACCCTTCACAATGTCTCAGGGCATTAGCTTATAAAATATATAAGCTACTGCTGCAATATTAACACGAAATGGAACAAGTCAAAGATTTTATGGCATATTGGCCTCAAAATATTGGTAACAACATTCTCAAGTGGGTTTGAATACATTTATGAGAAGTAGGCTATATGTTTTCATTTATTGTTGATGTTTGAGAAAACTGTTACTTAATGATGGAAGGTAGTATATAATTGCAATCAAGACCTGTAAGCTCAGTAACACTTAGTATTGGAAATGATAACTTATGTGAGGAGATCATTCTACTTGCTAAAAGGTAATGAAGGGAAATAAAGATCTTAATGGGGGAAAAAATCTACATTATTCTAGCAGACGCATCCATTACTTTTCCTCCTATCTTATACCCAGGAGATAATACAAAGACAGCCTAATGAATTAGCTAATTACATGATAGTGGCTGCTAGAGTTGTACATGCTAAAACCTGGGAAAACATTAATGGTACACTTCTAGGCATGTCTACTCAGAAGTGAGTCTCTTTAAATTCAGTGGGATTTACCTCCAGGCAAGAGACTACAGGATGGTTAAATCACTAAATCTAAATGAATGGCTATAAAAATGAAGGACTTTGTTTCAATGACAAAATGAACTGGCTATGAAAGAGTAAAGGAAAATAAACAGTTGGAGCTGTTTTATACTTAATGGGTATCCACTCACCAGTTTTTATAAGCTTACTCTTTTATTGCCACACATACAATTATATTTTATGTGCTACAATCTCCTAATCTCAGGCCTATGTTATAGTATTTTATCCTATCTTTTGATCCCTAAACCCTTGCAGGTGCTGGGAAAAGCTTGGCTTGAGGAGAGGGGCATCACAGAGACAGCTCCAGGGACAGCCACAGCTGCATTTTTACTTGGGTTGGGCACTTCCTAACTGAGCGGAAGGGATGTAAGAGTGGGAGCAGCTCTCCCTGGAATTGAGCCAGCAGAGTCAAACCGGTTCTGGTCAAGCCAGATGCTAGTTCAGACAGGCTACAGCAGCAGTGTGCATTTGTTCTGCCTCTTTGTCACTGCTCCCCCTGCCCCTCTTCAGTTTAAAGTACTACATGGAGAGAATTGCAACAGAAGGCATTCCCCTCAGGCATGCATTCACAGAAGGGGCCAAGAAGGCCATTGGGTCCAACCACCTCCTTAGTGCAGGACACCAAGTTACCCCATTCTACTCAGGTGCCTGTCCAGTTCATCAAGCCCCGTTCCCCCTCATGCTCAGGACCTTTTAAATTGCAAGTGAGGGTGCACGTCACCATGAAAAGCAGGGGTGGGTGGCATGCATGGTACCTTCAAGATGTTGCCTGCACCCCGTTGAAAGGAACATGGTTTCTCTGGCAATAGACAGCAACAGGTTATTCTCTGCCAGACCTTCTACCTCTACCCACACACTGAACCAGATACAATAGCACATGCACCCCTATGTGTGCAACAGAAATGCCAAGGCCTGGTAGCCAGTTGATAGGCGTGCTTGGATATTTGACCCTTCTGCTGATTCCAAGAGTGTGAACCCAAATATTTGGACAGTATTCTTCATTTTTCAAACCTTTACCCTGAAGTTGCACATTTAATGTAGTCATGGTCCTAATTTTCCTTTGCTGAACAAGACCCCTTTCAAAGGCCTTGTCTGTGGTATCCATGATGCCATTTATTTTCTGGGCAAAGTTTGTGGTTTTCCTTTCCAGTGGCTTCAGAGTCTTTGCTTAATTGGTGAGCTCATTTCTTAGTATTTTGAAATGTTCTGTGATCTCTGATAGGACTTCTTAGCTAGCTGCCTGTCCTCCAGATTTTGACAGCTTTGGGTGGTTCGTCTGCATCATGATGAATTTGTGAGCTAAAGTAAACCTGAAAATCTTCCTTTCTGATTCTAAACGCAGGCTGGGGTTGATGGGAGTGCATTCCAAAACATCTGGAGGTTAACAAGTTGGGAGAGCTGTCCTAAAAACTGTTTCCTGAGGAATTTAATCAGCAGCAGACCTCCCTACTAAAATGAACCACAAACATTTGAGGGATCTTCCAATATCCAGGTGAATAGCGGAATACTGGCAGTTGTGAAAAAATAAGCCGGCCTCCTGGCATGGTTTTTGGATGTGACCTTCAAATTACCATGCTCACATACTATGCTAGTGAATTTCTCAGTTCAAATGTTCAAACTTATTTCGTCTAATACTATATAATTTTAATTCTCTAACTTTTTTTTGCATTTATAACATTACCCCATTTTCTTTGGTGAGTAGCTCATTATTCTCATCTTCTGTAATCTGTCCATGCTCTGAATCAGCCCTTTAAGTTTGAAACAAGAAAACAATATTATTTTAACACAATTCCAAGTATATGTTTACATTCTGGTGCACGTGTGTGTTCATATAAATAAATAAATAAGAATGCTAGTTTGCAAGACAGAGCACCAATACACAGTGACAACAGCAGGCATTTGCATTTGTCTTATCTCTACTAGCCAATGTGATAGTTAAGCATTACAGATTTATATAAGAATCTGAAAGTCTCATAGAGACAAGAGCTGAATGAATAATCCAGCTGACACAAATGACAAGCCGAATGATGACTTTAATAGAGACTTTCACCTACAAATGTGAAGGTTGGTTAACTGGAACAGATGACAAGTTGAGAGGCAGAAGCTACATTTTGACTAATGCATGTATGAAAAATGAGCAGAAGTGGGAGTTTAAGAATGAGCACTGGATCCAGAAAGTAGGTAGATGGGTGTGAGGTTGGGAATGGAAAGTGAGAGAACTGAATTATAAAGTGATGAACAATAAGGATGACAACTTCCTGAAATTTGAAAAGAGGGGTAAATACACAATGCAGCAGGGCAAGGCCGCCCTGCTACAAAGTCAGCGGGTACATAGAACTGCTGGAAATAAAAGAGGCGGCATGGTGGGGAGGGAGAGGGGGAAGCTCTTAGTCTTTCTTGACCCAAGTATGATATTTAATAAGAAGCTGCACAGATTAATACTTGACACAGATACTAGGAATCTCTTCACCCTGAGTGTTGTACAGGATCATTCAATGTATATGCATTCAGAAGTAAGCTCAGTGAGACTTGCTCTTCATTAAGGCTGCATAGAATTGCAGCCTTAGAAAGAGAGAGAAGATGGCATATCTTAAGGACTCGTGCCACGGCAGAAAAGTGGGGAGGGCAGCAGGGTTGGTGGTTGCCTAGCAAAATGCCTTCTGATGGATTTATGGGATACGGTGTTTCTGCACTTTTTGCAAAGGGATGGGAAATCGAGAGAAATGGAAGGGAGTGTTAATGGGTTTGTTACCAATTGCAGCACCCCAAAACACCCCAAAAATAATTGGCCAGAGAAAGGCCCCAAAAAGTAGTTGGCCAGAGGAAGGCCACATAGTAAAAACACCACAGTTATACTGTCCCAGAAGGGAGAGGGGATAAGAACAAAATGAACTTTGTGTAACCCACAGCTAACACGCTAGCCTGACCTCGAATACAGTAATCAAAGGGACAGTGGACACTGGTTCTAACCACCATGAAAGTTGCAAATGTGCAGGGAGTAAGAACATGGCAAGCCTGTGTGAATCTCGAGCAGCTAAGAAATAGACATGGGAAATGTCTGGTCCTTGACAGAAGAAAGGACTCTTTCTCCAGCATGGGAGGGGGGTGCATACATTGATGTATCGATGCATTAGATGTGTATTAGGTGACCGAATTGGTTACCTAGGGTATAAAACGCATGTACTGGGGTGCAACTTTTGAGACACTGCTTTGAGCTGAATGTCCCCTTTTGTCTCCCTTTATTCTATAGTGCACTAGAATAAAGCTGATTTTGACTCCAAGTCTCGTCTCAGGCTCTGTTTGGCTTGGGTCTGGGGTCCACCCGGGTTTGCCCCAGCTGTTGACTGGCTCAGCTGTTGACAGGTTGAACCAGCATTAAGTGGAAGAAGGGCATGGGATGACAGGAGCTCTGTTTTAGAGGACTTACATTTTCACCTCTACCACAGGTTTTCCTCCATGCTGTATAATCTACACAATCTCTAGAAACTCTAACGTCCTTCCAGTTAAATAGTCCTTTGGGTGGAATTCCCCGCCCCCACTGAGACCCTGCGTCTGCACCAAAGCCCGTGCCTTAAATGTGTCCTAATCCCACTCCCTTATCGCTCACCCGCTGCTTGGATCCATCCTCTCTTCCGTTGCTAGGCGACGCTGTCAACATCCAGCAGGCTGCCTTCCTTTCCTTTCCTCTTTCTGCTCCACTCCGCCCCGAAATCTTCTAGGGCGATACCAATTGCGAAAGGGGGAATGTCTAGCTGGTCCGAACCATGTCTTGGAAAATAGATGAAGAGATCGCCGACCTTAAACTAGGAGTAGACTGGTATTCCATGACAAAGACATAGAGATAGGAAAATTAGAGTGATCCACGGTCTGAACTGAGTCTAAGACAAGTTGAAAGCCATCATTGGCTGTGATTTTCTTTAGAAGGAGCAATTTGTAGGATATAGGATTGTAAGCTGAAATCCAAGCTACACTGTTGCGAGCATTAGAAAGGAATACAAGCTCAGTTTTAAGGTTACCCCAATAAGAACTATGCGGCTCTACAGTTTTTCTCTTTGTAACCTGAGACCTTTTCCCGTCTCAACTCTCGCGATACTATCGCGACACTCACAGCTGCTGAAGTTTTCCAGACCGTAATCCTTTGCGCCAGGGAAAAATTGGCGGGCAAAAGGGTAGAGCCATGTCGGAGGACTCTGGGTCTTCACAGCTACCGCCGGTGAAAGTCCTGGCCGCGCAACTGCGGCGGTGTCGTCGCATGTCTGGTGGCCCGTGGCTGTTGGACCGGGAGGAGTACGGGCGCCCTGCGTTAGCAGTCCGTTTCGTGTGGATGCAGGGCACGGTGCTGAGCGTAGAGCTGGATGGCTCGACTGTGCGGCTGCGCGACGAAAGCGGCTCGTTCGTGGCTCAGGGCGTCGACAGCGTGCCCAAGGGGCGGCCTTGCCTTATCGCCGGGAAGTACGTGATGGTAATGGGCCTGCTGCAGTCGTGCACCCCAGAACCTACTATTCGAGCCGTGAAGATGACAGATCTTTCGGAAAATCCACTGCACAGGAGCATGTGGGGGTTGGAAGTGGAGGATTTGCACAGAAACGGTCTTTTATGATGGAGGCTCAGCATGTTCTCGCTTTCAAAAGAAACTGGGCGTCTGAGGAAACTTTCCATATTGCCGTTAAAATATGCATGGAGCCTCATTTTTGGAGAACTTGGATTAATGAGCACAATGGTCGTGCTTCATTGTCTTATTGCAGCTGTGGTGACAGGATAAGTTAGATGGAAATGGGTCAAGTTGATGAAGTAATACCTCTTCCTACAGTGGAGTATTGAGCAGTTGTAACCCCTAGGATGAATATCCACAATCAAAATGGTATCACTTGGCAGAAGTGTTTGTTTTCTTCAGCTTGAGCACTCCCTGTTTTATGAAGAATTTCATGTTCTTCAGATTCCATTGCAGATTTCATTACCAGTTTAGCTTCAGACACTTGTAAATAGTTATACTCAACAGATACATGAAGATTGTGCTGCTTTAAAATAATATTTGTTTTTCAGAAGAGATCTGTATCAACAAGACAAAACATGTTTGACTGAAAATGGATTACAATAATGGGAAAAGCTATTTTAACACTATTTAATATTTTAATTCAGTTTGAGTTCTGAACAGCTAAACATATGTCTGAAAAGCTTGCTTCAGGGACACAACTGCAAGACTGGGCAAGGTTTTAATAAAAACTCATTTATAAACTTGGTAACTGTGTTCAGTGTGTTCCAGTGGTAGACAATGAAGTTCCTACTGCTCATGTTTCATGGAATCCAATACTTCATGGTGTATGCATTATTAACGTGCTATGGGAGCTTACATTACTTTCTAATGTGTGACTCCATTTTGAGACATGAAGGTAGCTATAGCAGATGATTTGCAAGCTTCCCCTGACTTCCAGTAAGTACTTTATAATAATCACAGTGAGAAGGTAGGGTGGACACTTGTGTTCTGGACTTTCCATTGACTAGTGGGTGCTTCAGCATCATCCTGTAACCCGCCCAGGGAGCCTTCCTGGCTAAGAGTGTGGGATATAAATCCAGTAAATAAATAAACCCAAGAACAAAATATTTCCACTTTGACCAAGTACTTAATTGTTCTTTGCTAGGTTTAGCTATGTATGATTGATTTGGTCTGGTGTGAATATAGCAATATATTTTGAGACTGACTTCTCTTTGGCTTCTAACATTCTAACCAAAATGTAGGCAATATAAACTCTGTTGGTGGTGCCTGGTGATATGATTCTAATTTCTCAAGTTTAAATGTTACACATGCATAAAATAATGGCCTATACTAACAGCACACTTACTCATATCTACTCTGAAGTACATTTAATCAAGTTCAATAGGTTTTCCTTCCCAGTAACTGTATATAGGATTGCCACTTAATATCTTTAAATAGACCAAATCATCATCATTGGAAGAATTCTGAAATGGACCAGAAATGAACTATATGAGCACTGTTTCTCGTGAAAAAGGGACAAGTATTCCTGTTAACAATTGTCCAGAATGTATCAAATTAAATCTATTTAGGATTGAAAGGGTTGTCATCAGCAATTTCTGGCTACTGCAGCCAAACTTTAATTCAAGTATAGGTATGCAGATCCATTTACTACAAGCTTTAGTTAAAGCAAGTGGCCAAACAATCACTTTCTTTTTGGCTTGATGCAATAAGTACGTGCCCAGGCAAAACAACTCACACAGCAGCTTTACAAAAATTGACATGTTAATTTTTTAAATGTTGCATATTTCAAATGTAATTTTAAATATGTAAGATATATAGCAATAAAAATCATATTTGGAGGTTTGAGGAGCTGGTGTCATTTTTTACCCAATTATTGTTTATTTTTGAAGCTAAGTTCTGTTTAAGCTTACTTCATGATTTTTTCAGATCACAGGGCAGCCCAGTATTCCCAATTTAAAACTGACTGGCGGGCTAGAGGAATACAAGCTAGGCTCTCACAGTGAAAGGTAGCCACATTAGCGGCATCCTCTTAAGAGGCGCTGCTTGTTCTTCCACCGTCGTCGGTCCAGAACAGCGCGGGGCGGGCGAGATGCCTCCGGGTCGAGCTGTGCAACAAACCCCGACGCGACCCTAGTAGCGCTTTGTGGCGCACGGGAACGATGGCATTGTCGAGTGGGCAGCCTCCCTCGCTCCACCCCCAGATCCCGAGCGGATCCGGGAGGAGAGGCGCCTGGGCCGGGCTAAGCAGATGGGCTGGGCGTGGCCCCGCGCGGCCTCGCCCATTTTCCCCGCAGATCCTCCTCTCGCGCGGCGCGGTTCTCGGCGGAGGCGGTGGGGTCGGCGCTGGCCTCCGGGTGAGAACTTGCCCTGCTGGGCACTGGGGGGCGTGGGCGAGGCTGCTCTCGCGGTCTTTGCCCGAGGTGTGTGTCCAGGTACTTGAGCGAACCGTGGAGGAAATACAAGGGAAGAGATGGAGCTTTGTAGCCGGCGGGGAGCTGCTTGCATCGTGGGGTGGGGTCGTCACTGAGGCCCTGTGGCGGGTGAGGGGGTGTTTCTCGCCGCGGGTGCAGAGAAGGGGCGGTTGCGCTGGGGAAGGCGAGGTTGCCGTGGGTTAGGTCCCCTTACTGAGGGGGTTTCCTCCTTTGTAGGTTATCTGCTCAAGGTGTGCTTGGCCATTGCCATGGACAGCGGCAGGGTACCGGGGGTCTCGCACCTCAGGTGTTCGGGATGGTTCTGGCAGCCTTTCTGAACGTGCGTGCAGCGTGGTGGATCGTGGCAGCAGCAGGAATGCGTAAATCGGGGTGGGGGAGGATTGGGAAGGGATTATTCACAGAGGAAGCCTGGTGTCGTGGGAGAGAGAGTAGGGATTTTGGCCAGTGAGTATTTGAAAGCTGCCGTCCCTCATGATCGTGACAGCATAAATGAAGTCTGGAGAGGCAAGAGAAGTTCATGTATGTCACCCCTCTGGTTTGTCAATGTTGCACGGGGAGCAGTGCTTTCCCTTGGGTACTTCTTAAGTACCCATTATATGTTCTATGGTTCTGTGTCTTCTGTGCAGGGTGTTAAAGAACATCCTTACTATTATCTGCCTGCTAGAATGCATTAAGAATATTGTCCCTCTTCAGTTGCACTAGATTTTCCAGGGCATAGGGTATTCTTTCCTTAATTAAATACATAGAAATAATCCAGCTTGGCAGGGAAAGGCAGGGGAATGACACACAATGAAAGGGTGTTTTGGTACCGAAAATCTGTGAGTTAGATATGATTCCTGCACCGCACCCCTGGAACATAGTGGTGAAATTGGAAACTTCCTTCCCGGTTAATTGACAAGATGTAGGTTCAATTGGTTTCTGAAAAGTCTGAGGTTAAGATCTTGCTAGTTTTGTTAGATGATCCTGTAGTTTTGAATTATGTTTTTAAAGGTTCTTTTAATTGTAGAGTCAGTATGAGGGGAAAAAGAACCTTGATGGATGGAACAAAATGAGCCTGGCAGTGCAATAAGAGCCCATTAATCCTATGCAGAGTTGGGCGTGTCTAAACCCATTAATCCTATGCATACTTAACTCAGAATGGGATCAGGCTGTTAATAAGCAGTTTGCTCTGCTCAGTTTATGATTAAGAGATTCTGCCAGCAGTGAAGAGGTTGTGCCTTTCCTCTCCCCCACTCCACCTGAATTCAATGAATAATTCATATTAGCTGTGGAGGCCATAAAGTATGGATCTCATAACATATGGGATCAGTGCTTTGAACTACTACCGATGTGCAGCTAAGTCCCTGGGCTCAGAAAAGAATAGGGTACAAGCATAATATGTAATCTTCCGTTCCTTCTACCTGGTATTTGAAATGCATGATCTCCTTTTTTGTTTTACTGTTTTCCTTGTGTTGTAATTTCCTTCCCTATTCCTAAATGTTTCACTTTGACTAGCAAAGTAACTGAGGCATTTCAGTGCATTGTTCCAGGCACTGCTGATCTCGTTCCAGTGATGGGTGTCTAACTGGCAGATGGGATGATGGCCATGTTTGTATACTCTTGAAAGGTAATTCCCTTTAAGAAAGCATGTCCATAAGGAACAAATTTAGCTCATTTATGCTGTACATACATTTCATAGTATGCAGAAACTTGGGGTTTAGAACCAAAATGGGTCTGTTGCAGGATTGTTCATACACTTAATATAATAGCTTCTACGGAAGACTTTAGGAAGTGTTGATGCACATTGATACAGAGGGACACTTGATGGCAGGAAAGAAGTTGAAGGACAAACTTTTCCTGATGCTAAGACTCACATAAGGGAGTGTTTTTGGATGAATTCTAGGAAGTTGTTTCAAAGGGGTGATGTGTTTCTAGCATTACAGAAATAGAAGCAAGGCTTAGGCAAAGTTCTGAAAGGCTTTAACAGTCAGTACAGCAGGTCTGAGCTGAACATAATGCTGTACGATGTTGGGAAGCTCTTGCATTAAAAGGAGAGGTGAAGCAGATGCATCCTTCTGGGTAAGGGCAGCAAAAGAGAACACTTTCAGCAAAGAAAGGTGAAAAGTGAGAGGAAGACTTCAGCAGAGCCAGAACCATGGCTGCATCTTTGAGGACAATGGGACTGTTGTGCAGTCTGGGGCTTTGGAACCCTAAAGAGCCCACCTATCCTGGGCAGAGGGGCCTGAACTGAGGCTGTAGCATTGATTAGTGTTTGAGATTCAAGTTACGGGGAGTAGAAATGTTTTCATACGGACTGAAAATCAGGAGATCAATGTGGAGTTAGCAGCTAGGAGACAAGGAAAAGCTTGTAGCATGAAGGCTGAAGAAGTGGTGCAGTGCATTCTGACGAACCCCTTGTAAGCAGAGGAGGAGGCTCAAGAGTTGGGCATGAAGTTTACACAGTGGGAAAGTGTGGCTGAGTTCAGGTGAGCTGCAGTTACAGGGCAGGAGCTAGGTAGAAACTGCAGCATGCATGCACACAGGATTCCAGGATAGCTTGTGCAGTACCAGTGCTAGGTCAGAAGAGAAGCAGCTTTCTTTTACCACTTCCCAACAGGTGAAGAAGAGTTTAGAGTCTTCTGGAGGTCGGGGAGAGTAGAACCACCACGCAGAAGTGAACAAGCCATTAGGAAATGATATGAAGGGATCACAGGAGCTGGAATTGAGAGTTCACTTGGTGAAGCCTTCCCTGACTTGGTGCCTGTCAGATGTGCTGAGCTACAGTCTTCACCATCCATCACAGAAAATGTCCATGCTGAACTGTGGGTGGTGGCTGTAGATGTAGTCCATTCCCCTTGGAGGGCATCTGGTTAGGGGAGGCTGGCTTAGTGTTTAAATAATGAATGGAAAGTTTAACTGGCAGAAATAAGGTGCCAGAATCAACAGGAACCAAAGTGCCAAGTGCAGCAGGTGACTGAAATATTGATGGTTGCAAACCAGTTGTTGAGCCAATCATCTAGCTGAGAATATGGTGGCAAGGAAGAGTGTCAGTGTTGTAAGATTGTTGGGTTCTAACAGTTACATGCTACACAGAAACGATGATGGAACAGCATCTTACTTAAGAATTTAACTTTTGGTTTATATCTCCAGCAACTTGGCAAATGTAAACATGTGAAATTTGTAGCACTGTCTATTCTACAGTAGTCTTTTAAAACATTTATTTCTTTTAAGAAAGGCATTCTGAGTCAATATTTCAGCTGAGAAACCCCTGGGCATCTTCTAGAGAGTGAAGTGCTGTGTCTACTGGACAAGATTGACTAGAAAAAGCTTCGATTGTGAAGGGTGGGTGGTGGCAACTAGTAAGGTCTCTTCGGTCTTGCCAGTGTCCCAAGTGAACTTGGAATGTGTCCCCAACTTCTTTAAAGCTGTACATTGTAGGAAAAGATTAGCAATAATGGTTAAGTTGCCCTTTGGTAAGCTTGGGCAATTGCTGATATATTTCCAAGGAGTCTCTGAATTCCCTGGAACATGGTTTCTTCTTGGAAAAACACTGCACAGAAAGCTCTGAAGGGGGTATCGAGTAGTGTTGTGGCAGTGTGTGAGCTGGATAGTAAGAGCTGAGTTGATGCTCTTGAGTAAGAATGGAGGTCTGACCTTAAGAGGAAGTTTGCTTAGCTGAGCAAAAAGGTGATGACTGCTTTCCTTAAGACATGATTGAATATGCTTCATAGGTCATTTTCTAATGGTTCGCTCATTTCCTTTAGTCTGTCTTCTGTACACTATTGTATACTTGATTATTATTTTGGTACAAGTTTTGTGAGAATTGCAAGATGGTCACGCTGTGAGCATTTCCCGTCTTACTGGCTGGGAAGTGCACGTGCTGAACTCTTAGATGTTTCCTGTACATCCTCCTAAGGAGAATCTGAAAGACATGCATGTCTGTGTGTCAGGAATTCTGGTGCTACATTCTTGAAAACTGTTACCTGGCTCTTGTGCATTGTGCATTGTGAAAGTTTTCAAAGGACTCATGAAGATCTGCTGCACAAAGTTGTCCTTTGCAGACAGGTTTTAATTGTTTTAATCCCTTGAGTTTTGGGCAAGTAATACTTTGATTCAGCTTTTGTGCGTTTTATCAGTGGGTTACTCCTCCACCCTACATTCCTTATAGCGATTAGTGGGTGGTTATGAATGTGTTAAGCAAAATAAAGGAGGATGTGAGTGATAAGTCAGGTTTGATATTCTTTGGGTTTGTTTGGGGGGGGGTTAGCATAAAGTCTTAGCATATAGTCATTCGCTACTTTCATTGCAGTGACTCCAAGAGCTGAGAGTTCTTGTCTAGAACTCACCAAGCCTTGCTCCCCTGCTGTAACTAGCAATGAAACCTGGGCACTCTGGCTTCTGCTGCACCCATATATTGCTGCTAGTCCATCTTCATCAAATCTGCCTTGTAGCAAAATGCAGTGCCATACAGCTCTCCCTTCAGAATATCCCTTCCTGTTCTGTTATGGCTCCTGAGACCTCTGGACTGCTATAGTAACTTCCATTGTGCAACTTTAATGATGTAGCCCCTTGCCCATTTTACAAGGAAAAGTACAGAGCGTTACAGAGTTTGGGGCTAATCTGCCACCCATAGTTTTTCCTCTCCTCCATAGATGCTTTGTCTTCCTCTCTCTGTCATATTTCTTCTCTGATACTTTTAATTACTGGGCATTTTTTTCAAGTGTGTTTGTTCCCAGGGGAGGGTTCTGTGCATATCAGAAGTGTATTTGCTCTGCCACCCTTTTTGTGATTTGCTCCTGCTTTCTATCTAGCACTTTGCCTTCAGGAACTGGCTGTCTTGCGTGCCTTTAGAACATTCCTGGATTCCTGTAGCAATGCAAGGTCTTCAATAAGAAATCTGTGCTCTCAGACAAACCGTTACCAAAAGTCATTCTACTTCAGTTCTCTTTGATAAAGAAATACTGTCCAGTTAAAGCAAGTGTCGGTCCTTTGCAGGAAACCTGCCAACAGGATCTTGCCTTCTGGCCATTTGTTCAAAAGGGTAGGGCCTAAAAGGAAGAGGCCAACTGTTTGTGCTGTCAAAGGCACTTTGATTAACCAGCCGCTGCCCACCTCTTGGGTTCTGTGCTGACAGAGCAGCCTTGGGTATTGTCTATGAAAACAGCTGATCAGAATGCCTTGCTGGCTGCAGTACAGGTGTTCAGTGGCGGTGGCGGCTGAAGTGTGGGAGGAAATAAATAGGGTGTGAGCAATGCTTTTTTTTAAGGCTCTTGGAAATGTTTAAATCAAGTGTGATTACATTGTGACGTGTTGGAAGGAGAGAGGAAGGAAGGGAGCAGCTCAGCCAGCTCGGGTTGCCATAGATGGCCAGCTGCTTCCATGCTGGAAGAAGCAGGCTCCACACCTAGGATTTTAGCCATGCATGATTGCAAGTGTGAATGTGACGATATGCTTGCTCACCAGATGCCACACTGGTAGGCTTCCTGCACTGATATGTCTCTGGCCTCTGCCAAGATAAGAAGAGCTGAAAGGTCTTGTCTAGAACTCACCAAGCAAGGATCTGTCTAGTCCATCTGCTGCTTGTGGGGAATTGGAAAGGCCACAGCTTGGTGGCAGAGGACTTACCTGGCATGCAAAGGTCCCAAGTTCAGTCCCTGGCAGCAGTAGCTGGGACTGGAAAAACTCCTGCCTGAATCCCTGGAAAGCCATCACTGGTCAGGGTCGACAATACTGAGCTAGATGGTCTCAATGGACCAACAGCCTACTTTAGTTCCCATGTTCCTAAGCCATTCTCCCACTCCTGGCTCCCAGTGGCAGCTATATTTAGGCATATTGACTCTGCTACTTGTGGTCCTGCATAGTGACCAGGACAAGGAACTATGGGCAGCGATATCCTCCATCAATTTGTCTTGGGGAATATGTTCTAGGAGGTGTGTTAGCAACTGCAGGCCTTGCAGCGTAGCAGCCCTTGACACATTTGTATGGGACTATGGGCTTACTTTCATTCTTCTCTGCTGATGTATGTGGTTTCTGCCCACATGGTGCAGGCATATTTATTTCTTTTCTGTGTTAAATTTATATTCCACCCTTTTCCTTCTGACCAACTCATGGCAGTGACCATCATTCTCTTCTTCCTCTCAGTCTCATGCTCACAGCAACAACCCTGTGAGGTCGGTAGGGCTGAGACTGGCCCAGAGTCACCCAATTAGCTCCATGGCTGAGTGGGGACCAGAACCCAGAGCTCCCGGCTCCCAAGTCCCGCTCTCTTAACTACTGTGCTGCACTGACTCTCACACTGCATGTTTCACTGCTGCCATGTGATGTGCCTCTCAGAGGGTGAATATTGCTGCTGTGTTATCTAAATGTGCAGCATACTTGAACAGCTCTGTATCACTGGAATGCCTTGAGAGAGACCATAGAAGGGACAGCAACCCGGCTGTGCTAAGAAAGATGCACTTAGAAGCATCAGCAATTGCCTTATATGGAGTCAAATCAACTCGCTATTGTCCATCTGGGCTGACGAGCAGCAGCTTTTCAGGGGTTCAGACAGGACTATCTTGCAGACCATCCTGGAAATGCCAGTGTTTAAATCTAGGACTTCCTGCTGTTGAATCGTGCATTTCAGCACGGAGCTACATCCTTATTGACCACCCAACCGCTCTTCTTCTTCCAGGCTTATGACTTCTGCATTCTCTAAAGTGCAGTATTTATATTGTATACCAGCTTGGATATCCAGTGGGATTGGAGTGCCTTAAAAATTCTGAGGCTCTGATTCCTGTTGAGTAGCACTTTTAGTTGTGGCAGTGGAGCTCCTCAGTGCAGGATCATTCATTTTTAAAACTTTTAGATCTATATCCTGCTGTATTCCAAGAAAGTCCAAGGTTGTAGATATGATCCTCTTCCTCTCCTTTTTAGCCTCACCAGAGTGTTTAGAGGTAGGTTAGCCTATGAGTCTGTGACTGACCCCAATTCTCTCGGTGAGCTTCATGGCCAATTGGGGATTTGAGTCTGGGTCTTCCTGGTCTGACTCTGTAACCACTAGGCTGCACTGGCACCGCCTCTTTCTCCTTTTCTCTCCCACTTCCTTCTTTACATTCTTCCTTCTGGGGGGGGGAGCCATTTAATCTTTAGCTGCTGCTTTGTTTCTGAGCTGAGACAAAGCAGTTTATATATGGTGACCGCTTTTCTATTGGACTGGAGATGATGCTGTTTTCAGTCCCTTGAGACAGTAGTGGGAAAACTCACGAGTTCATGACTAGGCTGGCTGGCTGTTTTTCTTCCCCTTTTTCTTCCAGAGAAAATGCTTTCCTTGCATTGTTCCTGTGGACGCATTTGCAGCATCTGGCTTTCTTTTAGAGTGTTGAACCTCTCCTTGTGAATGTGAACATTTGATTGTTTTCCATCTTTAGTGAAATGAGAGCTGTGCAGATGCTAGAAATTCAGAGCCTGGTCTTACTTTGGAGTTAGTAGGAGAGCATGCACAGTTTCAAAACTATGGCATAAAATCAAGCCAAAAAGTAGATGTAGGTCACTTGATCAGAATTTGGGGATTCAAATCCTATATATGTGCCTAGGGCACTGGAATACATAGTCTGACACCCAATACCTTGAGGGCTAATTGCAGGCACTTGCATTTAATTTTGTGTTGTTCCCTAACTTGCTTCCTCACCTGAGGATCTCTCATCAGTAAGAGAGGCTGTGGTCACTACAGTCCCAGATGGAGCAGCCTCAAAATACTGGAGGAAGGGGGTCTTCTACTGCCTCTCCTGCAGTTGTGCAATCCCCCTGCTGCAGCAGCAGCAAAGACTGCTACCCCAGCTAGGTGATGAGACTGAGGAGAGGGCAGAAGTTCTGGGAGGAAGGAAGAAAGGCAGAACATGACTCAAAGAACAGATGTGCAAGTATTTGTGTGTCTAGCTGCATAGCTGCTTTGTTTTCCTTTGGTGTGATGTGGGGGATCAGATTTGGGACAGATGCTGGTGGTGCATCTGTCTTTCTTTGTTCCTTCCTTCCATCTGTCCTACAAGTGTGATCTTCCTTATATTTGCATGTGTTGAATTATGTGTGCATTTTCTCTGGCATGCTTTCCTGTGAATTATTTAAGGGGGAGGCATGCAATAAAACTTGATCTGGGCTTTCTTCCCAGCATTTCTCTCTTCCCCTTTCTCCCTGTATCTTCTGCTTGGCATGCAAAATTAGGAAGCCTTTGCTGATGGTCTTATAGGGGAATGCCTTGGCTGATATTTCTAGGTGTCATAGCAATGGGAACTGTGCGAACCAGGGCAGGTTGGACTGACCCTGGGAACAAAGGGTATTGAGCAAAATTTAACAGTTTTATGCTTCACGATGGCTTTGAGGAAAGAACAGCTTTCCCTTCTACTTGCTTTTCTGGTAGAGCAAGACCCAGTCCAGGGTCTGTTGTTGGCCTGAATCCCATTTTCAAGCGGAGTCAACGGCTATCTTTTCAAAGGCTTGTCACTAAGCTACTGAAGGAATAATCAACACAACCGATTCCCTGTTTGCATCTCTGTGCCAAACACTTGGAAGGTCAAATGTACTATTTACTGGATGGTTGAATAAATCTGGAGCAACATTTGTCACATCAGGATGTCCTGTGATTAAAGGGACATCTTGCTTATTAATAATCTGCATCCAAATTTCATCACGATGTATATTTACTAAATTGCTTAACTTCTTTGACAGAGGATGTTTCATTTCTTCCTGGGTACCCTTGAATCTAAAATGAGGTTTCTTGCTTGGACCAGGCTCCTGGGGTTCAAACAAACTTTGACACCTTTTCCTTTTCTCTGGGTAGGTTTTAGTATCAGAATTGGGTGCCTGACTGAAGCTGACAGAGAATGGAAACACTCCCTTGGCAATGTCTCTGGGAAGACTCCTCCGACGTGCCTCTTCCAAAGCATCCGACCTCCTGACCTTAAATGCCAGCAGCAGTGGTGGAGGCTCATCTTCCATCTTGGATGGAGAGATTATCTACTCCAAGAACAATGTTTGTGTCCACCCACCTGAGATGCTGCAAGGCATCGTGGAACATCACCCAGGTGAGGACAGGCAGAAAAAGTTCCATGGGATTTTGTTATGTGTACAGCAGAGCCTCTTAAGTCAGGGTGGGGAACTTGTGATGCTCCAGATGGCTTGGCTTACAACTCCCATCAGCCACAACTAACATGGCTAGTTGTGAGAGGTTACGCAAGTTATGGGCCAAACCATCTGGAGCATCACATGTTGCCACTCCTGCTGTAAATTACTATTATTTGCTTGGTCGTTCCATTTCTCAGCTTGTGTACCTGGAACTGGAATCTTAGAGTACCTCAGTGTTGACTGGAAATAGCTACATCTTGCTACAGGACAAGTGTACACAAGTTCTTGGTTCAATAGAGCTTAGCTGCCACTGTATCGAGAACATCTCCCTCTAAATGTCTTGGCTGTAATCTCTAATCCAGTTTCAGTGTTTCTGCAATAGTTCAATTTCCTGCTGTTCCTTTCACTTTTAAAGTGTTTCATTATTTTTTAAATCTAGAGTTCTCAAATGTCTGGTGGTAGAGTGTACTGTACTAAAATAAAAGACCTCAAGTTAGGTCTAAACTATTTTTAAAGCTTAAAAGCAGAGGTATGTGATGTAACCTTTCCCATCTGCACCTGTTACCACCTTGAAGTTGCTGTCCCTTCCTCACCATCCCAAAAAGCTGCTGTTAACTGTGCTATGGCAGGATGACAATATAATGGAGGTACTGATTTTCTCCTCTGCTTAGTAGCTTTAGAAGTAAGATTCAATATCTTCTTCTCTAACAAGCCAGTTCATGCCCCAGTGCTTTGGGAAATCAGATCACAGATTTCCCCCCCTCCCCCCCAGGTCAGGTGCAGTTTGGCCCTTAGCATGCTTCTTCCCACTACTTTGATTATGAGAGGCCCCCTTTTCAAATAACAAGTGCTACAGTTGCTAGCTGCAAAATGAGCATCATTCTAGTGCCACAGAAGCTTTTCAAGTGGAGGGTTTCAGCAGCTTGAACCTCTGCATCACGTGTTGTGACCGGTCATTCCTGTGCTGCAGTAGGACCTGTCTAGGACCACCTGCCCTGCCAATGTGTCATTAAATCTGTTCCTTGGGAGCCAGTTGTATTGTCTCTTGCTTGTCTTCATTTTTCCTTTTCCTCTATCCAGTTCAGCTGAAGCCTGATTTCTCCCTGCTACCTTTCCCTCCAAATAAATTTGGAGCACAGTCCTGTCTATTTGCTGTTGATCAGCACAATTCATGCATTTCCCAGAAGATTTGGCATCTGGACTCTGCCCCAAATATCACTGCACATTAGTGACTTGAGCAGTTGTCTCTGGCTTATGAAAACAAGGGCAAGCAAATTCCCAGTGTATCAGTGACAGGGAAGCCTGCTCCTCTTTGGTCATTTCTTCTATAAGAAATTTGTGATGCAATTGTACTGCATTCATTTCTTTTATTAGATTTCCATACTGCCTAACAGTGGAACCTATCTGGGTAGTTTGCAACAATTAAAACCATAAAAAACCCAATATAAAAGTTTAAAACTGCAGTATAAAATAACAATAGTACCCAAATAAAAACGAGCAGCAATTAAAAGATTTAAAACACAGTAACAGGTTTAAAATAGAAACAGAAAGATTGAAATGCTTGGAGACTTCTTCACCTGGTTCTCAAAAGAGCATACTGTAGGTGCCAGGCAAGCACACCTGGGTGGTTGTAACAGAAAAGACCCTCTTCTTAGTAGGCCCCCCCTTACTTTGTTTGGCTCCTGGCAAAGAACTTTGGAAGGTGACTTTGGGTTCCAGGCAGGTATACATGGGAGTGCACCAGCATGCAGGGTTATTTTCCCACTTGTTCCCTCCTCTTGTTCATTGATTGCCCCTCTTAAGGGGCAGAAAAGTGCTGAATGTAGTGACTTTCCACACCGCATCTTTCTTTTACTAGACATTACTGGCTGAATAGTAGCAGCAGAAATCTTCTCTTTAGGGCCAGAGAAGCCCTGTTTCAGCCGGTAATGTTACGGTCTTACCAGTTCACTAATCACTTCCAGAACCTTTGAAATGGGATTACTAGTTGAACCTGTTTCTGATGCTATTTTGCATTTGGTTTACTGATACACGTTTCTGGTGGATTTTGATGAAGTCTTCAATGTCTGGCTCTGCTTTAAATCAGATAACCTGCATTGCTATTATATCACTAAATTGGTATCAAACATGCCTGCCATCCATGTTCTTGCTTCACTGTTCATGCTCATTTTGAGTGGCCCAGATTATCACTGGGATTCTCAGCACAGTGGGTTAAATGCTGCTAGTCAAGGGGTGGCCTAGGAATGATTGAATCCCCAAGAAGATACAAGAGGCCTGGAGGTTCAATCCATTGTATCTCCAGGTAAGCCTGGAAAAACTGCTTTTTGAAACCCCAGAAAGAGGCTGTCAGTCAGTGATGGCAATATTAGGCTTGATGGACCAGTGCTTTGGCTCAATGTAAGGCAATTTCCTGTAAGCAGTGCATGATGGTCAGCCAGTTTGTATTCTTAACACATCCATTGCAACTTAGATGCTGCCTCCAGCTGACACAGGAATGACTGAAGTGTGCCATTAAATATGCTTTATTTCCTTAAAGAATTTGTTCCACTTTTTCCGTCCAATAAAGAGGAGTCCCTCAAAGCACCTTACCAAATGTGAAAACATCGAAACCATAACAGTCTGGCATTATAACACACATTTAGAATAAACAAAGTGGAGCATCTCAGACAAAAACACAAAGAGCTGAAGCTTACAAAGCTGATCACATGCTGGATTCAGCTGGTTGCTGTGGATTCTAGCTGGACAATAGAAAACATCTTCAGGGGATCAGATCAGCCAGCCAAGTGTTTGCAGGAATGAATAAAGTTGTGAGGAATTGCCTGTGCTCTGGAGGGGAGGGGAAAAGAAACTAGAACTTTCAGAAGATCTGGAGAGATGGAAGGAGGTCCAGGCACTAGCCTGAAACTGGGGGGACCAGGCACCCTTGCAGAAGCGGAAGTTTGGCAAGCTAAAGCAGGGGCTGGCTGTAATTCTGAGGCACTGTGTTCTTTTGCAGGCTATCTGTGCCTGTACATGGAGAAGGATGAGCTGCTTGGAACCACACTCATCCTGGCCTGGGTCCCAAATTCCCGTATTCAGAGACAGGATGAAGAGGCCCTCCGCTACATCACGCCAGAGAGCTCCCCGGTCCGTAAGGCCCCCCGCAAGCGTAACCGCCACACTCAGGGTTTTGGTGCCCCTATGCAGGCTTCCCCCTCTGAGCAGAAACAAGCTGTGACCCCAAAGGAAGAGGAGGACATTTTGACTGTGTCGCAGCTGGTTAGGGATGTGGCTCATGTCAGCTCCCCTTCTGAAGAAGGGGAGACGCAGCCCCAGGGTTGCCTGACTGCAGACACAATCCCCAGCTCTGCTCAGCCTGCCAACACTGACTCAGGAATCTTATCGACAATCAGTTCTCAGGATGAGCAGAACCGGTTGGAGGAGTCAGTGGAGGAAGAAGGGCTGGAGGGCCACCTGGAGGCGGGAGAGGACGAGGGCTCTTTGGAGTTGTCTGCCGATGATGTTAGCAGAGACAGCACATTTGACTCAGACTCGGATGCTTTCTCTTCTCCGTTTTGTCTCTCGCCCATAAGTGAAGCACTTGTGGAAAACGTTGGCTCTGTGTTCCTGGTGAATGACAACAGGTGAGTTTATGTTCCTCTGCTCCTTTATGGAGCAAAGGCCAAAGCAGAAAGGGGGAAATCAATGAGCAAAACCACCTGGTTGTAGGGCCGTCTGGCACAAAATTCTGACTGAGGGGCACAGGGGCAGTGCCAGTCAGAGGCAGGATGCACAATGCCCTGCCACAGCCAGCAACCCCCCCCCCCTTTCGAAGTAAAACTTCTGTGGCTCAGCACACACTGGCTTCTTCTGTCCTGCTGGCATTGGCTGTAGAGCCAGGAAGGAATTCCGGGTCCCAGCAACAGCTTCATTCAGTCATTGTGCCAGCTGGTGCACATGCGCAGTGTCTTTGGCCTGTAGGGGATGGCTTCCCGAGGGACACGCTTCCTTGGACTAGGTCAATACTTTGAAAAAGCTACGTGGCCCAAGGTCCTAGCTTGAGTGAGCCAGTGAAGGCTACTTCTTCCTTTCCAAAGGAGAAGTTGTTCTGGGCAACGCAGAGGGTGTCCAGCATTCTGGGCAAAAGGCAGTGGCTTTCATCCACCCGCGCTTTTGCTCAGTTTGCTGACTGGTTCACATTAGATAACTTGCTGAAGAAAGCCACCCTGGCAATGAGCTTGTAGGTAGTTGTTGGGAGCTAGATTTCCCCTTATTCGTTTCAAGCTTCCAAACAACAGTCCCTTTGCAAAATAACTCTTTATTGCCAGTTCACAGCTAACACGCTGCAGCAACTGAAAGACTAGTCTCTGTGCCCGAACAGAGTGATTAGTTAGACCCAAACTGGAGACTGCTTCTGAAAACCCTCATTTTCAGTAATCCTGGGCTCCATCCCTCTGGCTGGGTCTTTCTGGAAAAGATCTAGCCTCTGGTCTATCCTTAACTGGGTAGCTCTCCTGTCCTGACACCACGTCATGTAGCTGGACAGGACATGGGCTTGTCTTCCTCCTCCTCTTTGTTCCCTCCCTCCTCTTCTGAACCCTGCCTGTTCCGATGGTCTTTCTGAGAATGGGGGGGGGGGAGGGTGGCCTAGAGACAGCCTCACCCTCCTCTGCGCCCTTCATTCCCTCATCCCCCATTCTTCACAGCCCTTGCCAGAAGACTTGGCGTAACCCTGATCTTGGAAAGTATGCCAGGAATAAATTTTTAGTGCATTCCCTGCAGTAGTCACAGTATTATTTTCCTCTGGTAGACCAGCAGGCAGAATGCTGGAAACTAAAGCAGTGGCAGCTCTCTCTGTGTGTTTCTTTCCTTGTTTGGGATCATCAGTTTTATTACTCATGTGTTCTTGATTAACACTACTGTTGCATCTGTTGCACTGAATTACCTGACCTGTAATGTATGTATGCAGTTAAGGCCAAATGCATTCTTGGTTGACGATTGCAACAAGTGGTGGTGGTGGTTGTTCATTGTGATAATGTGTGGCTTTGTGCTGTGGGTTCCCATCTCCCACTCATGTTCTCAAGTCCCTTGATTCTCAGTGCAATGGGAATTGTTGCTGGAGCAGGAAAATATGGATCCCAAGACCCACACTTGGCTGTTATGGTATCAACGATACTGTGTCCCGTTTTCTTTGTTCAATGCCATGGAGGCCTCCTGTTGAAGCAAAAACAAAAAAGTGGCTCTGAAAAAATGCTTTTGTGTGGGATGTTGGTGTTGCAACATACAAAAAGATGGATTGTGGATGTTCTCAAAACTTGCTGTTCATGTCAGACTGTGGGTTGCATCAGCATTGCAAAAGAATCTGTGGCTGTTAGAACTAAATTGTTAGATGGGAAAGAAATGGAAGGCATCACTGCAGTGCAGTCCAGAGTTGATTTCTAGTCTGCTAGTGAGTTGGGGTTTTCTTTGTTTTTTGGTTAGGAACCTATGGTGAGGATCTGAAATATTTAATTAAAAGAAATTACTTCCATTCATTAAATAGTTTAGCATTTAATTTCTTTCTCACCTCATGGTTAGAAAGTGGGTTGCAAGTTTGAGTGGGTTGCAACCCACTCCGCTAATATCCATATGTACTCCACACAAACCTGAACATTTTCATAATGGTCCATGCATCTGATGAAGTGGTATAGTCCACTTACTATTAGTTTTGAAGATGGCACAGGACTTCATTGTTTTGCTGTTAATAAAATGTCTTTGAGTTGATGTTCAAGCAGAAGATAGAGACATGTGGCTGGGGCATATGAGAAGTAATTTCAGATTTTGAATGGTTAATATGATATCTGAATATGTTTGCCCTCTTGGGCTGTTGGGTTTAAATGAGTTTCTGGGTTAGTTTGCATGATCAAAATGAGCCACTGTGACTCGCTAAATGTGTGGCGCACACAGGGTGTGATTTCATTCATCACTGCTCAGGCTTGGCTTGCTGTGTTGTCAGAACCCAGCCAGGACATGGGCTGTTGGTGGAGAAAACAAGGATCAAAATAAGTGTTGTCACAGCAAATGGGCTGTGCTGTGCTCTTCCCCTTTCCCAAACACTGAGAGGCTTGAGAAGGTAGAGGGGGAAAGGTGGAGGACACTGCGAACTGTCAGGTCCAGCCTTAAAACTGCGTGTTTCTCTGTGAAGCGGGTGATGAAGTCAGCCCTAGGGCTGGAACAAAACCTAACAGAATCTGTCCCTCTAGCATTTGTGAGCTTTCTCTTGTGCTCGGAAAGTGAGCTGAGCCAAGAGGAAGCCCATGAACACCGGTGGAATGAAGATTGTGCAGTCGGAAGCCTCCTCCCATGTCAGGTGCAGAAGAGGGACACTGGTTGTGCAGTGTGTGGAACTCAGTTCCTGGCAGGTGCCCAAAGCAGATTGGAGTCTGAGGAGTGGAGCCCAGAGAATTTGACAGATTTTCACCCCCTACTCCCCCTACCGAGTGCCCCTTTTTGCAAGCAAAGATTGTCTCGTGACCTTGCTTTGTTTCCTGTGGCTCAGTATTTGACAGCTGTCAGATGAAGCAGAGTTGTGTACTTGAAGCCTGGCTTTGTCAAATGTCAGGACATTGATGAGGAAAGGCTTTGCATATTGAATAGCTGGAGCTGCAGGCTTGTGCAGCTCTGAACTACCAACAAAGATAAAATAAAATAATGAATGTATTTGTGCACATTTCTGTGCAAAAGAAAAAAAAGTGGCAAACCAATGATGGCTACCCCAGTGTGCCAATTCAGCCTGTGAAGGGGCTGTTGTTGACTGTCACTGGCACATCAGAACTGGCAAAAGTCTGTCTTTGACAAAAAGTGGGGGGCAGGTCACCTGCATCAGGGGCTACAAGTGGATCAGAGAGAGGGAACAAGATGGTTTCATCTGCCAGCTCTCCTGCAGTGCCTGCGGGCAGGACCGAGGGGAAAGCAGAAAGAGCGTCCTGTGTGTTTACATGTGAGCTGTCTATTGTGGAAAAAGCTTTAGCTATTGCTTCTAGTTTGTTTATGCATCAAAATGTGTAGCAAAGTATGTTTTTACACTGTTATTGTGTGTTAACGGTGTGTGCATATATGTGCAAGTGTCATGTTTGATTTCAGCGCTTGGGGACAAAGTAGGAGGCTCTCCACAGCTGGCTAGCCCCCCTCCCCCCCATCAGATTGGCTGCCAGCCTGCACTGGAGGAGTGGTCATTTTTTTGCTATTCAGCACTGCAAACAAGGGAGGCTTGCTGGGTGGCAACAAGAGAAAGGGCCTTTTCAGTGGTATCCACACTCCATCTGAGGCTTGTGTTTCCCAGTAATTTCTGTGCAGGACCAGCATTGTCCTGTTTTCTGCTCTCGATTAAGACTTTCCTCTGCTCCCCAACGTTCAGTCGCATATGCTAGGGCTTGTTTATGTTAGTTTTGTTTTGCTTTTGTCAAATCCTGGTAGTTAATTGCTATTTTTTTACATCTGTTTAAAGATAGATTTGCTTATTAAAGGTTTTGTATTATATTTTATCATACTGTGAACTACCTGGAGAGCTTTGACTACTGTATTGTATAGAAATGTAGTGAATGAATGAATTAATCTTGTGCATGTCTACTGAGAAGTCTTCTTGAGTTCAATGGGATTTACTCTCATTGTATAGGATTGTAGATGAAGTGCCTTGTTGCAGTCGAAGTCCTGAATCCTACTAGCACTCTGATTCTAGTGGCAGCTTTAGACATTACTGCATTGGCAGTGATCAGAGTTGGAAGGAGCCAGAGGGCCATTGAGTCCAACCCCCTGCTCAGTGCGGGGCTCCCATGTTAAGGCATCCTCCTCAGGTGGCTGTTCGGTTGCATCTTGAATGCCTCTCTCTAGTGTAGGAGAGACCATAAGCTCCCTAGTGCAGTATGACAATGGACCCAGTCAGGACATTTTTCCTGATACCTAGCCAGATATCTTGATTTCTTGATATCTTCCTGTAGTTTGCGCTCATTATTCTGTGCCCTGCACTCTGGGATGATTGAGAAGAGATCTTGGGCTTCCTCTTTGTGACAGCCTTTCGAGTGCTTGTAGAGTGCTGTCATATCTCCCCACAGTCTTCTCTTCTCAACGCTAAGCTCTCCTCATGGGGCTTTGTTTCCAGTCCCTGGATCATCCTTGTTGCCCTCCTCTGAACTCTTTCCAGCTTGTCTGCGTCTTTCTTAAAGTGTGGTGCCCTGAGCTGGACACAGTGCTCCAGATGAGGCCTACCCAGTGCTGAGTAAAGGGGAACTAGTACTTCACATGATTTGGATGCTCCTATTCATGCAACCTAGCATAGCATTTGCCCTTGTTGCAGCCACATCACACTGTTGACTCACATTCAGTTTATGATGTACAGCAATTCCAAGATCCTTCTCACTTGCAGTATTGTTGAGCCAGGTATTCCCCATCTTGTGATGATGCATTTGGTTTCTTTTTCTTAAGTGCAGAACTTGGCATTTGTCCCTTTTGAATTTCATTCTGTTGTTTTCAGCCCAGTGCGCCAACCCATCAAGATCACCTTGAATATTCTTTCTGCTTTCCAAGCTGTTAGCTATCGCACCCAGTTTTGTGTCATTTGCAGATTTGATTATCATTCCCTGCACCTCCCCATCCAAATCATTAATGG